CGGCACTGGAGGCACAGTCGCAATCGCATTGACACTCGGTTTCCTATTGCTCGGTATATTCGGAGTTGTAGCCTTCTGCGTGTACAAGCGTAAGAAAAAGCCCTCTGGGCAAAATGGTCATTACATCATGCCAACCTCCATTACTTCTTCCCCAAAATCAGGTTATTCAAATCTCTGCATGCACATATATTTATCATCCTTTTTTTTGCTTCTTTTCATATGCACTGCAATACGAAACTTAATCCGATTTGTTCCACAGATTCTGGCTTACTGAAAGAAGTGCAGATATCAATACCAAGAGACGGCAGCGGCTTGGGAAACTCGAGGTCGTTCTTCAGCTACGAAGATCTACTCGATGCTACTAATGATTTTTCGGACCAGAATTTCTTGGGTGAAGGTGGGTTCGGTTCTGTGTACAAAGGGATTCTTCCAGATGGTAGAGAGATTGCAGTTAAGCAGTTAAAGATTGGTGGAGGACAAGGTGAAAGGGAATTTCGATCGGAAGTCGAAATAATAAGCCGTGTACACCATCGCCATTTGGTTTCGCTTGTGGGATTTTGCATTTCCGATGAAAGGAGGCTGCTTGTTTACGATTTTCTCCCTAATAATACCCTCTATTTCCATCTTCATGGTACAACTCTTTAGTGCTTTATTGTGGAAAGAAGTGCATTGTTCTTTTTTTTTTTATAGTTGTACTTTTTTCAGGTGAAGGTAGGCCTGTAATGGATTGGGCTACACGTGTGAAGATAGCTGTGGGTGCAGCTCGAGGGATAGCTTATCTTCATGAAGACTGTAAGCTGTGGATCATAATTTTCTCTAAAAAAATCGGGAGTTTTTATATATTGTTTCCGTAGTAAATAATTTGGTGAAGCTAATCTCTTTCAGGCCATCCTCGTATTATCCATAGAGATATCAAATCATCAAACATACTTCTCGACAGCAACTTTGAAGCTCGGGTATGATGATTTTCAAACGAACCCTATTTTTATTTTTATTTTTATGTCCAAGAACTTCCAAAACAGAAACTGCTTTTGCAGGTTTCCGATTTCGGACTTGCTAAATTAGCTATGGAAACGAACACACATATCACCACACGTGTTATGGGGACCTTTGGGTGAGTTATATCATAGAAACAAATTAGATCTTCAAGAAATTAAATGTGGGTTTTTCCTTGTTCTTGATAACTAATATTTAATATATATTTTCGTTTTGAAAATTCAGATACATGGCTCCTGAGTATGCATCGAGTGGCAAATTGACTGAAAAGTCCGATGTATATTCTTTTGGAGTTGTGCTGTTGGAGTTAGTTACAGGACGCAAGCCTGTAGATACATCTCAGCCGCTAGGTGAGGAGAGCCTCGTCGAGTGGGTAAGTTCGTTAACCACAAAATCCTGTTTAATATTTAATATTTAATAGTTAATATTCATGATTATATATCACCTTGGTTTATATACTAAAAAATGAATAAAATTGTTGGACTAAACAGCACATAATAATATTTATGACGACTTTTCAGGCCCGACCGATATTAAGTCATGCACTGGAGACAGAGGAATTTAGTGGATTAGCAGATTCAGGGCTTGAAGGAAATTACGTCGAACCTGAAATGTTCCGATTAATCGAAGCAGCATCAGCTTGTGTTCGCCATTCATCTGCAAAGAGACCCACAATGGGACAGGTCAGCATTTTTTTTTTTGCAGTGGCGAAACTGAAATTTCTAAGCAACTTTTTATTTCGTCGGCTTCCAACTATTATTAATTAATTTTTAATTTTTACTTTTTAGGTTGTAAGGGCTTTCGACAACATGGCGACCTCGGATTTGACGAATGGAATGAAGGTGGGAGAGAGTGAGATATTTAACTCGGCGCAACAATCTGCAGAGATTAGATTGTTTCAGAGAATGGCGTTTGGTAGTCAAGATTACAGTACCGATTTTTTCAGTCAAAACAACAGCTTGAGTAGTGAAGGCAACCGCACAAATAGTCGAAGAAATTATAATTGAGTATGAAAAACAGCCACGGTGACTATATTGATTGTAAATGAAAATGGCGAAACTCGAGCCGGAAGTTTTTTTTTTTTTTATTTTTCGGTAGGGTCGATTCTTTTTGCTGTACATAGGAAGCAAAATTTTGTTTTTTCGTTAGCATCTATTTGTAATAAGGGCTAGGTTATTCATTTTTCTTTTCATGCTCTTCAACCTTGTGAGGGAAATAAATATGAAATTAATTCGACGATTTTGGTCGTGCATCGAATTTCTTGAATAGCATTTTTGGGAGTTGAATAACTGATCTTTCTACTTCTTGTCTAAATGCTTCAAATGGTCATAACACTATAAACAAACACAAGCGGGAGTTTACTTCTACAACCCAAAGGGTGCGAGTTTGGGATGAAATTCAGGAATTCAATTCGAGAAGTCCGTATTTTTCGCAGTCGGGATTTGGGATTAATATTTTAATACTCGAATCCAAGTGATTTGGGATCAATTTCAGGACTAGGGCGGGAAATTCCAAATTTAAATAAAAATAAATACTTTATAATCATACTATATTTGCTCTTGCAAAATTAAGAAATATAACATATAAAGATTATACAATCAATGGATTATACTATTAATTCCAAAAGTGGTGATAAAATATATTATGACCAAATTATTTTTCCTTTTTTGTTTTTGACGAAATTCAATTTCAAAATTTTGACGACGCCACTGCACCACCCGATTGCCACCCCATAATTCTATACCGGGATTCGGAAAATCTCAAAATCTGAAAACTCCAAAATTTCCCCTTCCAAATTACAAAAGAATGCCAACCCCTACAAATACATCGAACGTAAACCTATAAACATGGCTGGTAAAGCTCGTGTTTTGCCCAAAAAAGAAAACCAAAAAAAAAAAAAAAAAGGGAGGGTAAACCAGGTAGAGTGATCATCGAATGTTTGAAAGACAAGTTTCCTAAGAATCTAATTTTGAAATGTAGAATGCAAGTTATTAGCTAGCTAGGCTGGGATAGCTTATTATGTTTTCCTTAGCTTAGGAAACAAACAATTAATAATAACTTAATTACAGTTTTCGATGCACAAAAGAATATAAAGTCATTGACTAACACACAAAACAAATAATATTTTAGCTTCTCAGCATGTTATTTTCATTGCTTCACACATCATTCATACCCTTCCAACAAGCCAAATAATACCTTATTCCCTTTTTCTTTTCAACAAATTAAATATAATGGCTTCCTCCAATCATCACCTTCTTCTTCTTCTTCTTAATTATTTTTCGAAGAAAAAAATCGAAAAAGAAAATCAACATGGAAGATGGAAACATGATTGCTGCAGATTGCATTGTCATATGTTGTTGTTGCCAATGTATGATCCTCCAAATCATAATCTTCATACTAGTCAAACTTCCAAACAAACTACTCAAAAAGACGAGAGAATATGCCAAAAGATTCCGATCCCAACGGAGAAAGAGACGAAGAACAAAGAAGATTATCACGCAGATTGAAATAACGACGAGAAAAAGATACGACGAAGACAGCTTAAGTGCAAGTTTTGGAAATTCATTCAGAGTCGAATCGTTTCGGTTTGGTAGTAGTTGTGATTGCATGCATGAAATAGAGAGCGTTTTGGAAGATTTTTCGAGCAGGGGTGAATTTGCTTTCGGAAGTTTTTGGGGTGGGGAAGCTTCTAGAAGTTTCCGATCTTGCTGTCTGAACGAGGAGGTGCTTGATTACGACAACGTTGGATTTCGTTTGATGGAATTGTTTGGCGGAGCAAATTTCTCTTGTCATCATTAATATTTAGTTCTTGAAAATTTCTCGTTGATAATATATATCGTTCAGTATATATATATTCTTCTCTTATCATTTCATTAGGATAGATAAATAAATAAATAAATACCCCAATTAATTAATTAATCTCCTTTTAAACAGAGTTATTGAGATTACAATAGTCAATAGTAGCTTATTTATGATGACAATTTTGCAGATGAAATAGGGAGATCATTTATTTTCTCAAAAATTAAAAAAAAAAGAAAAAGAAAAAAAAAATTGGAAGATCATTTATATCTTCCCCTCGAAACGACGTCGTTATTTCCTCCAGAATTTGTTTTTTTTTAATAGAAAATCTCCAGAATTAATTCAAAAAATCCCATCTTTAACCACAGTTTATTCTCCCAGACCCAGCCGTCTTCTTTCAACCCGCCGCCGACGGCGTCGCCGCCGCTAACGCCGTCTTGGGTTATGACACGTTGGCATCTGCAAATTTTCGCTCACTCTTCCATCCTCTGAATCTTGCATTTCTTCAGTATTCCTTCGCTCGCTCCCCATAATCTTCCAAACGTACATCTTTTAGTGCAACTCACCTGTTCGACAAAATTCCTCAATGAAAATTTCCTATTAATTTCTGATCCAAAAAATGCCGTTAGCCCATGCAAACTTCTGCTCACTCTTTCGTCCTTTCACTCGTGCATTTCTCCACTATTCCTCATCTCCTCCACAAGAATCCCTTCAAGAATCCATACTCGCAGCAATCGAATCCAAGACATACCACAAAATACCTGACCTCCTCAATAATTCCTCTTCTCGAAATCCAAATCCATTCTCATCTCTCTCCACACTCTCCCCAAGCCATAAATCCCTCGTCATAGACGAAATTCTTCAGTCCTTCATCTCCATCCGCCCCCGCTCCCGCCCCAATTCCGCCTACTCCCACCTCCTCTCCTACATTCTCGACACCCCAAACCCTCTCCCTCTTGCCCTCGCCGTCATCCAACGCACCCTCCGCTCCGGCTGTCTCCCAGTCCCACAAACCCATCTCCTTCTCTCCAATGCGTGGGCACTACGCCTACAAACATCTCAAGACACCGTTCAAACCCTCCTATCGGAAATGAAATCCATCGGATATTCTCCGGATTGTGGTACCTGCAACTACCTCATTCTCTCTCTCTGCAAAGTCGATCGCCTCGAAGAAGCTCTTGGTGTCTTGCGTGGGATGGGGAAAGTGGGGTGTGTTCCGGATAGGGATAGTTTCGGTATTTTGCTTAGTAGGATGAGCGAGCTGAGAATGATTCGTGGGGTTGTGGAGATGGTGAAGGAGATGGTGGACGTTCACTTATTGAGTCCGAGAAAGGAGACAGTTGTGAAAGCGGTGGATGCTATGAGGGCGAATCGGGAAATAACGAGGGCCGTTGAGATGATTGAGTTCTTGGAGAGTAAGGGTGTGGATGTTGGATTTGACGTGTATGAGTTGGCTCTCGAGGGTTGCTTGGAGGTTCGGAGGTTCGTTTTGGCGGGAAAGTTTGCCATTAAAATGACTGACAAAGGGTTCATACCATATATAAGGGTGCGGCGGAGGGTTTTCGAGGGTTTGGTTAGCGTTGGAGAAACGGGGCTTGCTTCTGCTGTGAGACAGAGGTTTGCAGAGTTGAAATCTTGAGATTTTTTTTTTTTTTTTTTTTTTTGGGATTAATTAAGCTCTATGTTGCATTCTTGATTTTGTATTGTAATATATTACAGTGCATATATATACATCATGTGTCTAAAAAGAAAGGCTACGAAAAGGTAAGTAATAATTATAAAAGGGAATCGTGAGCTAAAATACAAATGAATTAAAGAATGAAACTAATTACACGATACATGATACATGACAACTATAATGTTTCTTGTTTTGCATCGAGTTCGTCCTTGATGTCTATAACTACATGTAAATCATCGAGCTTTTTTTGATCCTTTGAAGAATCGAGTTTTCGAAAACGGGCTTTTTGGGAAAGTTCATCTACAGATGCCGATATTCTCTCGATGCATTCAATCACATCCACAAGTATGGATGTTGTGACAAGAGGTGGCATGATTCTTCCGAGGTCGATTTTGGTGGGACCCAACAGTAATGACGAGCAGTTTTGGAGTACGATTATGAGTTCATCGGCTGCCGATTTCGAATTACTTATGTGGATTTGAGCAGCCGATAATTGTGGAACAGTCATCCCTTTTGTTGCGGAGGCTAATTCTTTCAGGGCCTTTCCCAATTCCGTGCTCAGTTTCTTGCATTCCGGTTCGATTTTGAGATCGAATTCCGATTCCAATTCCTGAGGTTTGGAGTTGATGCAATATCCAGTGCTAATTAGTGTTTGGATATGATTGGCACATTCTCTTGTAAGAACTCCAAGCTCCAAGTAGTGTTCCCATGGATGATTATATCTAAATTCACCATGAGGAGGCTCCCACCATGCAAAATTTGCCTGAAAATATATAATCCATTTTATTAACTCAATATATATATATATAAAAAAAAAAAATTAGTAACAGGTTTAATTTACTAACCAAGGATTCCTCGTTTACTTTTGAGTCTAGCACAGTTTTATGGTCTTCCAGATACTTGTCAATCTTATCAGTAGAAAGTTCATCACCATAGCCTGTATAAATATTTAATATATAGTTAATAATTAATGAAATACACATTATGAATTTAAAAAAAGAAAAAATAATATATTAATTCAGATCCATACCTAGGAAGAAGGTGGCAAGCTTATCAATATTTCCAGAGACGAGAAGATGCAAATCTTGACCCGCCCAAACGGGGCAAACGGATACGGATACTAGGATGCAGATTGCGCCGCCCATGAAAATGGTGCTCAATCTTTGATGGCCCAATATTGAAATCTCGGTAACACGGTAACCCAATATCGCTACTAAAGTGAACGTGAGTATGAATATAACCACTCCATGATCGTATTTGCTTTTTATGCTCGGGATAAATCGCATATACGTTGATGCTGCAGCTGCATATATTTAAAAAAAAAATCTTAATAATTGAATAAAATTTATTATTTTAAATTTTCAACGGGAAATAGATCAGAAATTCGTTTAATTACGTACCTAAAAGAAAGACCAAAATTCCAAGAACGATCGCCTCTCCTTTGTCACCGCAAAGTCTGGCTAGATACCCTGCTCCGACCCCTAAACCACCGGCAACCAATGTTGCTGCACCACTATTTAAACATTTCGAGAATAATGCACCTGAAAAAAAAAAACGAAAAGGGTATTTAAATTGAATAAAAAGAAATATGTTATATACGAACGAAATTAAAATAAGTTTCATGTCTGTATTAATAATAAGGTTTAACGGTGCTTACCAACGCTACTAAATTCGAAAACGACCACGACAGTTAAGACAGCCGACATTCCCGCTTGTCCGAACAATCCATCGTACAGCGGTCGTAAGTAGTAGAGGAAAGAGACGAGCGTGATAGCCAATCCAACTTTAACAGAGTGTATAATTCTTCTCCGGTCTTCATCCTCGATTTTCGCAATTTCCGTAACTTTGGATTTATCGAACTTTTCATAACTGCCCTTGAAGAAATTGTTAACTCTCTCACATATTGCAGATCCTATTTTCTCTTGCTTTTCTGAATATTCAATTGTATTATTCATCTCCATTTTTTACACGTACTAATCAAGAAACAAGAAAATTTGAATTTGTGCTCGAATTTAAAAGCAGATTGCAAAGAGTAGTATATACTTTCTGCAGAATAATTTGAAACAGAGAAAATTAGGGTAATTGTGAAATTATGGTGGTGCTTGCGAATTTATAATGTGATGAGTTTTGATAGTTTCCTTAAATTAATCCCAGTTTTCAAGTATATATGGTAATTCTTATTTATGGTAATAATATGTAGTTTGTGTTTGACAGCCTGGAAATTCGTCAAAATATATTTATTTTAACTGTACTTGTAGGCTTTCGATGTGCTGTAATTAAGTTGTAAAGAGATACTAATTTTTTTTTTTTTCAAAATTCAAGATTTTATAATTACCCTCAACCGTCTTAATTTTTGGCTGATGATTCCTATTATAATTATATTACTTACCTTTTAGTAATATTTCTTGTTAGACACATGATATATATATATGTACTATAATTATAATATATTAGAATACAAAATCAAGCATGCAACGAAAAAAGAAAAAGCACATAGATCTTAATTAATCTGAAAAAAAAAAATGAGAATTCAAGAACATCAATTTCTCAAGATTTCAACTCTGAAAACCCTCGAAAACCCTCCGCCGCACCCTTATATACGGTATGAACCCTTTGTCAGTCATTTTAATCGCAAACTTTCCCGCCAAAACGAACCTCCGAACCTCCAAGCAACACTCGAGAGCCAACTCATGCACATCAAATCCAACATCCACACCCTTACTCTCCAAGAACTCAATCATCTCAACGGCCCTCGTTATTTCTCGATTCACCCTCATTAAACCTTGTAGTATACGAAATTACAACCCTCACCCTTTATGTTAATTGAATTCTTGCTCTTTCTTGATGTTTAGAGTAATGTAATGTCCGAAAAACTTAGGTTAACAGTTTGCAATCGTATCAAATCATTCGATTCAAACGAGCCTTAGTAGTTCGTAAGCAACATTAAAGAATCAAAAGACATAGCCTCTATCTCTCTATATCATTCCTTATTCTGTTATTACAGCGTATACGCCTTTCTTACCACCGAACGATAAAAATATCGAATCGTACAAAACTACATAAAAAGAATGAATAAATAAATATAAAAAAATTTACAAAACTAAGGTGCCAACAAAATGGTTGGTACGATACAAAACATACGGCACACGTCGGAGTATTAGACTTCTTCCTGTACAAAACCTCGCATTCCTATAAACCTCTACGTATATATATACTTATAACAACGTTATCTGTCTTCCAAAGGATTTGTTCTCGCCAAAGAACGTGCAGTAAAGCCGACGGTAGTCGTCTTAATCGACCTCTGTCTCACCATTCTGCAAAACTCAGGGTCTTCGCCTCGACCCTCGTACCTTATCCACTGTATCATACCGTGGTACATCGGAAAGAATCTCATCTGGATCGCATCGTACACAAAGTAAGGCACTAGAGCCGACACGACCACGAAAAGCGTCACTAAATAGAACATCGGATTCGGCGCGAGCGACTCGACAAACACCTTGTACGCGGTGGTGGAAAGACTGGGCGGCATCGCCCCGTAGGCCAGGAGGAATAGGTACCATAGGGCGATCCCGCCCCATATGACCACGTGCTGGATCAGCGTGAAGTAGCTGATCGCGAGCGCCATCTGGCAGTTGACCACCCATACGACGCACGTGTACATCGTCGCGCCTAGGATTTGGTACTCGGCGATTTTGCCGTCTTTGTTGAAGGCTTGCGGACTCAGTGCGGTTGTGCAGAGGAAGAAGATTATGACGGCGCTTATTACTCCGTTTAGCATCCAGCCGAATATACGGCGCCAGCTGAACAGGACGTTTTGTACGCCTTCTTGGTACAGTAACGGAAACTTGAGGCAAAATCGAGCGGATACATCTTGATCGAAGACCCCGAGAGCAATAACCGGTAATGAAGTGAAGAACACATTGTAAAGAGACAAAAACCAATCGTTGTACGCGGGTTGTCCGGAAAACGACGCGTAGGCTTCGTACAAGAATACGGTGAAACCGAAAGTGATGTTTTTGTAGAAGAAGTAGCAAATCTGCACGAAAAAAAATAAAAAATAAATAAATAATAGAAAGTGAAGTTATTTTATAATGTATAAGAAGTAAATGTTTTTAAGACAATAAAATTATACCATTGTCGATATCCTTCGGTAGCACCAATGTCCATGCACCAAAAGCAAGCGCTCCAAAAATCTGAACTGAGCAATTGCGATATCGCTCGACATCACCGCCTGGTAAAATTTTGTCGAAGAATTTAGTAAAATAAAAGATAAAAAAGGATTATTTATAATTTTTGTAACAAAAAAAAATATGAAAAATATTTCTAACCTGCATTCCTTCGACACCACTGATTCCGATTCCGATATCAGCTTCTTGAAGCATTCCCACGTCATTGGCTCCATCACCGATTGCTAAAGTTGTCTTCCTTGTTCCTTCTTTGACAAGTCTTGTTACCTATTTATAATCATAAGAAATTATTTTGAGGGTAAAAAAATAAAAAATAAATCGGAAAAAAAAAATTGAGAATTTTTAACTCACCAGTGCCTTCTGTTTTGGCGACGAGCGGCAGCAAATAACAGAAGCACAGCTGATTGCGAGTTCGAGAAATAAATCTTTAATATCGTCTGCTAATGCGTACGTAAGGGATTTTCCGTCAATGATCAATGCGAAAGCCTCGGAATTATTTGAATTAGCAACTTGAGCCTTTCCTTCGGTAATTTGTCGAAGCACACTCTGCTTCGACGCCTAAACAAAATAAAAACGAAAAAATTTCGGAATATCAGTAACCTTTTATTACTTTCCTATTTAAACGAAAGTAAGTGTTGTTACCTAAAAGAATACAATAAAAGAAAATGGAATTAACCTTTGCAATGGCATTCTTTTCTCCCTCTTTCTCGAGTGATTTGATCTCGGGACTCTCTAATATAATCGTAATTTGTTTCATTCCTTGTCTGAGTAAGCTACAAGCATATCTGCAAGAAATACGTCGAAAATTCATTAGTCATAGTTAAAATTAAATAAAATAACAAGAAACTCTGCTGAGAATACACACACACACACACATACCCGATGTTAATGGCGGTTTCCATTTTATCCCCGGTCAAAACCCATAATTTTATTCCCGCTTGTGCAAGTTTGTCGATACATTCCGGAACCTAACCAAAAAAAAAAAAAAAAAACTAATCAGCATTCGACTAATGATTATTATCATAGCCTAATTAATTATCTAAATTATATTATATTATATTATATATATATATATATATATATATATATATATATATATATATATATATATATATATATATAATGTTTTTTTCCACTCACCCCTTGTTGGAGCTTGTCCTCGACAGCAGTAGCACCGAGAAGAATCAAATCTTTTTCCACTTCTTCGGTGACATCATCAATCAATGTCTCACGATCAACGCTTATCGAATTTTTTGCCTCCGTGAATTTCTCATCGAACGCTCTATATTCATTTTCGCTAAGTTCTCGATAAGCAAGAATCAATGTCCTCAATCCCGCATCGGCGTACTCATTCACATGCTCTATAGTTTCTTCTTCGAAATACCTTCCATTTTTAGCCAGCCTCTCAAACATGACACTGCATGCAGAAAAGCCGTTAATTCGAGCGCATAAGAAATAATTTCTCAAAAGGAAAAAAAACGAGCTAGAGTTGCTAAAGTAACCAACCTGTCAGCACCTTTGCAGAGTAACAGCAGCTTCCCTTCCTCATCTCTTACTATCACAGACATTCGCTTTCTCGTACTATTGAATTCCAACACATTCAACAGCTTGTACGTTCTGTACCGAACATAATATATTTTTTAATTTTTTTGTTTCAAAATACGAAAAAAAATAATAAAATCCCACGAAATTCAAGATTTACTAAAAATAATACCTTTCGACTCTTTTTCCAGAAATGGGATCCAGCTCATTAATCGAAACAGTCGTTTGCGTTCGTTTAAAGAACTCGAATCCAAGTTCTCTAGCTGCAATAACAAACGCAGATTCATCGGGTGACTCAGCTTCATAAGTAACCTTCCCCGTATTTTCATCAACATCGGGTATTGCAGTATGACAAACAGCCAATAACCGAAAGAATTTCTGAATAATATCCGAGTGCTTCTCGTTCGTCCAGTTCCCATTGGTCATTCTCTCGTCGAAAAAGTTGAAACCTTTGACCGACGATCTTTTAGGACTTTCAAACGGTTGCTCTCCACCTTTCCCCTTTATAATCAACGGAGAACCGTTTCTTTTCGCCATAGCCTTTTCAACCTCGGTGAAACCGTATCCATAAGCAGTGCCAGCTACCGAACATTTAATGAACTCCATCGAATTGCATGTCAAAGTGCCCGTTTTATCCGAAAGAATCGTATGAACCTGGCCCAATTCCTCGTTCAGATTCGAAGTACGTGCATGGGCTGGCCTATCGGCTTCCTCGTAGTACATATGAACATCCCTATTGATAAAGACGCTCTGTAGTACTTTAACAATTTCTATCGAGACGTATAAAGAAATCGGAATCAAATAACTGTAGAGCAATAATGCGGTCAAGAAGTGAAATACAGCAGCAAGTGGAGCTCGATTTGGATCGAAGAAAACATCAGCATCTTGTGGTTTTAGATACCACCTTTTATGCCCGCCTTCCAGGTCGTCTTTCGTTTTGATACCGAAATAAACCGATCCAATAAAAGCCATCAAGAACAGAAGACCGAATAAGAAATAGATTATTCTATCCATTTTCTTCTCGATTTTGCTTCTTTTTGAGGGAGGGTTTGTCGAGTTCTGAATAACCTTTGTGTCGTGTCCCGTGAAAATAACGGCTCCGTAAATGTGGTCCGTGTTTCGGAGCTTTGAGTCTCGGAGTAAGAGCTGTTGAGGAGAGAGAGAATATTGTTCTTCTTGAAATTCCATTGTACCGACGAAACTGTATAAATTGGCATTGGGGTCTTCGCATTTGACGATGGCTCGGAAATTTCTGAGGTCGTTTAAGGATGCCGTGGCGTCTAATGATTGCTTGAGCTTCAAGTTTGTCTCCCCGTCGAGATTCATCGTCTCGACATAGCAGACAGCATCTTCGTAACTCGATGAGAGAAGGACTAAATCTGCTGGAAAGAATTGATCTTTTTCAACCTTTACTATATCGCCTACTTTTAGATCTTTCCACACGGTTTGCTTGAAACTTCCGTCGCCTTGGTGCACCTTAACCTTTCGATTATTCATCTCAATATCCTGAAAAAAAAAATAAAAAAAAAAATCAGAAGATCCGAAAATGCCGTCTGCTACTAGTACTACATTAAGAAACATTTATCCGAAAACGGAAACAAGAACTAAACATTATATATATCAAATGGAGCACAATTAGAATTATTTCTCGAAATAAAAATCCGAACTTTATACTATAAAATCAAACTTTCTCATAAGCCTAATGTAGTAATGTAATAATTTCTTTAAAAGGGCTTACATTAAGAAACATTTGTCCGAAAACGGAAACAAGAACTGCGCATTATATATATCAAAATGGAGCACAATTAGAATTATTACTCGAAATAAAAATCCGAATTTATACTATAAAATCAAACTTCCTCATAAGCCTAATGTAGTGATGTAATAATTTCTTTAAAAGGGCTTACAGAAATTGAAAAAAAAAGACACAGTCAACATCAAATCTGAATCCAAGAAAATACCTGCTGATTTCTATGCCAATCTTCAATACCCTCTTTAACCATGGTTGCTCCAATAACTATGATTAGTGGGATGATGGCACTGACAGCAGAATAAGGAGCAAGTGATGTGAAAGACAAGATACCAGTAACCAAGAAATAAAAGTTAGCAACTCTCCTAAACTGCTCAAACAGAGATTTGGGCAAGAAAGTAGCAGCTGTGTATTTGGTGCTACTGACATAATTTGTCGCATACTGTCTGAAACTTGCATCCAAACAATCTGGTTCGTTGCAATAAACCACTCTTGAAAAACCTGGTCCCCCAATCTGGGACTGGTCTTCATCTTTTGGTGCACTTTTGCCACATTTGAATGAGTAGATCTTGCTGAAATGTATCTTCTTTTTACTACCACTTTTCATTCTTTGGTTGAAACTAAGATCTTGGCTTTTGTTTTAGAACAAATACAGAAATGCACCACTGATAATTCTCAGAATTTATAAAAAAAAATTAAAAATTGAGTCTTTAGTTAAAAATTGAGTCTTTTTCACCAAGAAAGGGCTTGAAGTTTGAAACCCCCCAACAACTCGAAAAACCCAGCTGTCTAAATAATTAAAAAATAAAAAAAGAATAAATTAGAAGAAGAACTTCACCAAAAATGGCTTGGAGAAAGAATATACAGAGGTCAAGAGAGAGAAGATCAAGATTCAGACATAACACACAATCAGCACACAGTGGGAGGCGTAACTGTAGTCCACCACCTTCAAAATCGGAGAAGAAAGAAAAAAAAAAAGCTTCAATCTTTGTAGTTCAAACAGAATGTTCTTGGGCCAAAAATTATGGTTAAAAAATTAAAATAAAGATTCAATTTTTATTTCTGTAGCTGAAACGAAATAAAGTTAAATGTATATAAAAAAGCAGGAGTTGCTGCCTTACTTTAACTTTAAATATACAATATAGAAGATGCTGATGTGGGCGTATCAAAAATTAATTAGAGAAGATGTTGAGAAAGTGGTAGATGCAAATTATTCACGCATTTGATTTTTCCTTTTTAGCAGGCAGGCCACAATAGCTTTGAACATTGACTTGGATCTATCTCATGCTTTGACTTTTCCCGCAAACGTTGGATTTGCGCCTAAGCACACGCGCATTGGCAATTCAATTTTAATTTTAGGGAAATTAAATTAGAAATTTGAATATTCATAGTGGGAAAAAAAATAATAAGATGAAGAATCTGATGGGGGTTGCTTTATTTTCACACATTAGGGGCTGCGAATTTTCGCGGGAGAATAATTTTATAATTTATACTAAATGTAATTAAATAGAACCAACTTAGAGATGATTAATTGCGTGAAGAATTTTTTTTTTTTTTTTTTGAGGTTTAAAAAAGTCTTTGTAATCATATTTTAAATCGGGGAAAAAAACAATAAGGAGATAATGCACGGCGAGTACTTAACAGCTGTTAAACGGAGTGACGGAAGGAATGACGGCATCCATGTTAATTCCATGCAGAAAAATGAGAAATAAGCATGCCTAGATTTAATTAGGATAATATAATATGCATATATATTTTTTTTAATTTGATTCAAAATCTTTATTTTTAACCGTAAAAGATTAATTAATTAATCAATCATATTATTGTTGCATAAAATCTAGAGACTGTGGATGCTGCCATCATTACAGATTTGTCCTTGTTACGCGGACGTGCTGAATTAATTGTTTCACAAGAAATTAAAAATAAAACAAATAAATAATAATTATAATAACGGAATTTCATTTAATTAGGACGGTTTCTAGAAATATCCCTAAAAGTCATGCAGACTTTGGTGTGAAATTTTATTCACGTACAGAAATATCTCCCTCCCTTCCTAGATAAGTGTCGTTTTTCACCTTGGCATAAATTTTTGGAATTTCAATAAATATGTCTTGATTTTAGGAAAGTATATATTGATGGACCAAAATACCCTTGTTTATTAATTAATGCTGGAAGATTGCTGCAGAGTTAATAAGGGTAAAAATGAAAAATAAGCAATTAATGCAGTATTGGAATTGTAAAGTGACAGATAATATGGAACAAAATAAATTCTCAAAAGAGACAGATATTATGAAACAGAAGAGGGAGTATCTCATCTGAGATTAAAATTTCAACAAATTTTATTTTCACATTAAAATGGTTCTAAATTGCCTATACTAATAATGCTGCTATCTTAGGTAATTTCCCGCCCTTTTTTTCTAGAAAAAATAGTTAATTACCCAATGTGATCAGGTTCGATAGGTTTATTATATTTCAAGGGTAAATTACGTCCGCCTCCCTGAAGTGAGGTTAAATAACGAAAAAAACCCACTTTTGTTTAGGTAATTACAACCACTACCGTTGACTATATATGAATCTTCTTGCACGTCCATCATTATGGTGTCAAATTCAATATAATCATCTAGGTTATGTTGAATGTTCTTTAGTTTGTACTCATTTTGTACAAAAATACGATTTTTGATGCACCACAGTATGATATTTACAAGTCAAGAAACATATCTTACGATCATCTTGTTTCAATATGTGGAGCTCGAATGGGATAAAACGGGTACAAACTTGAGAATATTCCACATAATCTAGAAGATTCTGTTAAATTTGACACCGCAATGGTAGACGTGTAAGAAGATTCACAGTTGAGCGGTTATTATAATTACTTAAACATGATGGGTTTTTCCGTAATTTGACCTTACCTCAGGGGTGTACATAATTTACTCTATAAACAAAGGCAAACTTATTGTTTATGATAAAATTACCCTCAGACGATTTAATCTCAATTTTTGAATGTAATCCTAATTTAACTCAAATTTTATCAATTTTGACCGCAAAAATTCAAATGGACGCTTGTCCTACCCTAAATTTACACGTAATCGCCCAGAGCAAAGAAAAAGAAAATCTAAATCGAAGTTGACTTCATGAAATTTCCGTGAAAGTTTTGTTCTTTTGTTGACTATACTGCATCACTTAGTTATGTGTAATTACAATATTAGAGCCCATGTGCATCATTAATTAATCTTTGCTTTATATCCATTAATTAAGTCAACAATGAATTGATCAAATTTATACCATTCAAGTAATATTAAAAGAAATTATATTATCCAATTGGTCAACAAAATAATGAGTTGACTCGATATCTTGAACAATTATTCTAAGCATAAGGTTACTTTGTTTGGCTATACTTCTTTAGAAGGTATTATTTTAAATTCATTAGATATTATATCTTATTACAAAACTAAATTTTCAAAATTTATAAAAAAAGGTATAATATAGTTGAACTGAACTTTAACTTACACGATTACTTGATGAATTAATCCTTAAACGAGTTTTAAAAAGATGGTTGATTTCTGTTTAAGCAACTGACTACCAATCCTGGAATGAGAATCATTATTATTATTATATATATATATATATATATATATAACGCGACAAATAGAGTGATCTTTCACAAGTACAGTATTGATAATACTAATTAATATACAATAAATCAACTGTGACGTCACTTTCAGGTATGTGAAAGAATATATATATAATTAATTAATTATATTTTTTGAAGTAGTCAAAAGCAAAAGGTTAAAAGTAATATCATGAAGTTAAATTTAATCATTTAAACTAATGTGAGACAATAAATCGAAATATGAAATACGATATTATGTATACTTGTGGTTGGAGTATACTAGTTTTTTAGAGCTATTAATATACTTCATCGGTTTTATTTAAGTGTCGTTTTGCAATTTCAAAATAATACATATTTTGTTTCAACTTTACCCTATCATTGTTGACAGATTAACGAAGTAATAAAAAGAGATGAAAAACAATAAAGAGAGTAATCTTGTCAAAATAAATCGACCAAAATCAGGAATATTTAATAATATTTTCAATTAATGTGCAATAGCCTTAAAAGACACAAACTATTATAGGTACCCAAAAAATTTGATAATCAATTTGATATTTTTGAGTTGAAATTGCTCTGAGTGAACATAATACATCGACTAATTCATCGACTCCATAATTAGTGTCTATTATTTGTATACATATATGTAACTATTTTATAGAAAATGTTCATCTATTGATGTCATGACGGAAAATTAATTAAATTTACTTGATATTCGATTGAAGATTGATTGTTCCGTTAAAAATCTATTTGAACTCGATTCATTAGCATGCAAACTAAGTTTGGATGCATGCTTTCCCAATTTTCACCAATAAGAGATATGAAACTCATCAAAGCTAGATTGGATTGAAAACGATTAAACACGTATAAAAATTAAGCTACTCAAAATCAATAGATCCATTAAAGCTCAATCACAATTTTGAAACTCGTCTTTGACTCAACTCGAATATTAATGCTAAACGCCTTACGAATACATAGATCAAAAAAAAAAAAAAAAAAATTGTGCCGAATTTGAAATATTTTTGTGGTTGGGTAGATTCTACTACTATGAGGTGTTGCTACTTTCAACATATATAAATTATGTACCAACTACCATTTATAGTCTAGTATTAGGTTTTTAGGCAATATTAATCACATATGAAAATGTAGTTTTACCTAACCTAGAAGGCCCTTAATCCCTTATATATATATATATATATATATATATATATATATATATATATATATATATATATATATATATATATATATATATATATATATATATCGTTTTATAAAATAAATTTTTAGATATCAAAAAAAAAGTTTATTAATATTAATTACTAAAAGAGGATTAATAAATCCACCACATATGGTAATCTACATAACATTAGGTGGAACCCCCACCTAAATTGGCCCATAATCTACGTAACATTAGTTGTACGTAAAACGGTCTTCTGCTGATCTCTAACTATTTTGTGGTCTAAAATCGTTAAAAACATGGAGTTCCTTTTCTTTCGTTTCGATTATGACTTATAATTGAATTATATTTATACAACTTGTTTTTAAATTTTTAGAGATAATAATACAACAATATTCAAAATCATCGTATTCAAGTTCTTCTAGCGATGTATCATTTTGGAGCCATAATCAAGGTTTCTTGAAATCCTACACTTGGTAATTACTTCAGTACTAGATAAAAAATATCACGTGAAAAATTTCAACGCAATCACACATATAAAAATAATTAAGTAAGACACGTCACTAAATTGTTTCAAACTAATGACTCTTAATATTATTTATTATGTAATATAATTAACAGGCATATAGCTAAATTTTTAAACAATAATGAAATGTAATCAACACCAATTTTTATTTTAAATTAGTAAAAAGTAGGATGAAGATTTAATTAATTCCCTCGAAAAACTTAACTCGTGTGCATAAATCAATCAACTGTGCTACCTAATTCCAAACAGTTATAGATCGATCATACGTATGTCAATACGTATGTAGATCTGTGTATATAAAAATAGATGTATATATATAATATATAATATATAATATAAAATACATTATGATCGACAAGCACTGGTGACGTGGGAGAATCATAAATTGAAACTGATGAATCTCCGTTCACGTTGTAATAACTAATAAGGATACAAAGTTTTCTTTCTTTATATTAATTTTTTTTTAGAGTGACGCGTATAAATTTGGCGTTTACTATAATTACTAATTATCAAGGGAAATAATATCTGAAAACACGAGTCCCGTCAATATCTATCGACGTGGTTTTAGGCGGTGTTTGTAAAAGCTTATTCAAAAGCAGAAGCTAGTAATTACGAGTTAAGTTGGTATTAAGTTGTTATTCTGTAAGATTTGGTGGTATTTGCAAATATTTTGGAAATTGAATTTAGATAAAAAAAAAAACGTCTAGAGGTGCTTCGAAAAAACAGCTTAAAACAATTTATTTTAAGAGAAGCAAAAACAAAAATTGATTTTGCAAACACCGAAAAATAAATTATAAGCAAAAACAACCTCAGAAGTTGCTTCTAAAAGCATTTTTAATTTCATCCTATAAAAATTATAAGAATGAATGATCAATCATCTTTAAATTTTCAAGTTATGAACACAATTATAATTGTTAAATTAAATATCCGCGACATAAAAAACCATACCAAAATCGGAGCGTGTTGTCTAAATATCGGTAATTTTATTTAATACTATTTACTGTGTGGTCCTTCCGTTTTGCAAAATATGATATTCTTAGCATATTCGCGCAGACCACAATTGGCATTATTGATGATTTGATTCCATGTTATTGTCATGTTAAAAATCATAATTAAATTAGTTTTTGCCATCTTTATTTTCATAATTGGCGTCTTAGTGAGAATTATTAACTGGATTATGTTACATTATCACATAAGTCCAACAAAAAGTGGAGGCCCAACTTCAATTTTTATTCAAATATTAACAAATAATTATAATATTATATAATCAAGAAAACATTCCAAAATAACACTAGTAATCTTAATTTTTAATCTTGGATTATAAATATACCATGAAAATGTTAAAGAAAATATTTTACTTCACTAGTTTATAAGTGATAGTACTTTATCTTGATCCTAGTCGATTTAATTTGCAAAATATTAAAATTTATAAAATATATTCGAGATATTTTTTACCCATACTAGTGATAAGGAAATCAGTTGACTGACATTGAATATAAACATAGTTGTTAAATCTTAAACCGAATCATAATCGATTCATCAGAAATTTCAAATCGTAATAAGTCGTAAATTTTTTATTCTTTCAAAAATAATATAGATAAAATAATGATACACAAATATCTTAAAGAACTTATACTGCTATAATAAAATTCTCTGTCTTCTAGAATTTATACAGTTCAACTATAAAAGTTGTATCATAACACGTTAAAATGGAAATTCTATAAACGTCGTAACAAAATTTTCAATACAATATATATCAAGAAGTTCAATAAAATTCAAAACTAAAGATAACATATATAATTAATTGTCATAGTACACGCATTTTCTAAGGCACGACAATTTTGGTATGCCGAATACGACTTATATCATGAGCGAAGCTGGTGATTGTTTCGAGAGCCATCGTTTAGCTTCAAAAAAAAAAAAAAATTTAGTTCGCATCAGTTGGAAGAGATCGAATGAAAGATAAGATAAGTAGTTATTAACATGTTTGAGAAATAGTAAAAAGAAAAAACTTTTAGCATATTGGAATTTGAAGGAATGAACTTTTAGCTAAGAGATATTTCTACCTTGTCCTTTTTCCTTATTTAAATTCCATATGAATGACTATAAGCTAATTTAACACTAATTACAATCACCCCTGAGGTATGGTCAAATTACAAAAAAAAACCCTCTTGTTTGGATAATTACAACCACACCCTTGTGGCTTCAAATTTCGTGGAATTTTTCGAGATTATATGGATTAGTATCACTTTTGTACCCGTTTTATCATATTTGAACTCCACATTTTAAAGCAAGATGATCATAATATGTGTTTTTAAGCTTGTATATATTAGATTGTGGTGCATCATAAACTGTATTTTTACACAAAACGAGTACAAACTAGAGCACATTTCACGAAATCTAGATGATCATGTTGAATTTGACGCCATAAGGATGTAGATGTAAGAAAAAATCATAGTTGAGGGGGTAGATGTAATTATCCAAACAAGATGGATTTTTTCGTAAATTGACCATACCTCATGGGTGGTTGTAATTTACCCTGAGATTAATTACTAATCAAATTCAAATTTCACTTGCAAAAAGCATGGGAATAATTATTTGAACATTATTAGGTCTATAGACTATAAGTGTCAGATAAGGTTGCTAATCAGTAATCAGCCCACGTTTTTGGTGTTTAATGCAACAACTTGAGTTTAATAATAATAATAATAATAATAATAATAATAATAATAATAATAATAATAATAATAATAATAATAATAATGGTAATAGTACGTAATTGCGTGGAATAATAACATTTTAAAAAGCGCGTGGACCACTCCAGGCAAACCCAAATATAATTTTTTTCATTAACTTATTGTGTAATAACCAGTACTTACATATATATATAAATCTAGACAACGAAATTTTGTAATTATATAATAACATTGGAATGTATGTCTTGTTCAGATTGTCAATTATTAGAAATATTGCACTAAGTCGTAACGTAGAGTTATTTTTTCTAAGTAAAGTGGCGTGAATTAGAAGTTGGGTTGCCGTAACGACTTTCGTCTTCATATGTTCCAATTTCTAAATAATGGAACTTTGATGTGAACATAATAATAATCACTTCAAACACAAACAAATAGAGTACCAAACTCTTTCTAGATTTAATCTAATCCTAAAAAAAATACCACAACTAATTTTTGTAATTACGGTTACACTATTATTCGATTGTATGAATCGGACTATTTAAGATGCAATAAATTGTATTACCTTCTTACTAACTAATAAATTATTTCTCTTTGTTTCTTAAAAAAAGGGTAAATTACAACCAACCCTCTGAGATAAGGTCAAATTACGAAAAATTCCCTCATGTTTCGATAATTACAACCACCCCTCAAGTATAAATCTTTTTACACATTCACCCTTGCGGTGTCAAATTTAGTGGAGTCTTCTTCAGTTTGTATCCGTTTTATCCTATTCAAGCTCCATATTTTGAAACAAGATGATCACGTGGTGCATGAAAAAATGCATTTTTGCACAAAAAGAGTACAAACTAGAGAACATTCCAATGGAATCTAGAAGAGATTATGTTGAATTTGACACCATAAGAGCTGACGTGTAAGAAGATTCATAGTTGAGGGGTAGATGTAATTACTCAAACAATAGAGTTTTTTTTCGTAATTTGACCTTACTTCAGAGGATTTACCGTAATTTACCCCCAAAAAAAAGAGATACAACTCTATAGGAACAAAACTTATTAGACCTAATAATACTGGAAAAAATGAGAAAAATGGTAATTAATGCATAATTAAAACTTATTAGTAGGGCTGTGCATGGATCGGTTTTAACCATCAACCAACCCATTTTCGACCCACAATTTGTGATGGTTAATCAACCATCAACCGACCCATTTAAGTTGGGTCGATAATGTCAACCAACCCATGTATAGTTGGGTCGATAATGGTTTCTAATATGCAAAAAAGTTGGTTAGTCGGTTAATATCGGCCAACCAACTTTATTCTTTAATTTATTATTTGTTAATTTTAATTAAAATATTTAATATTTTTAATTTCAAATTTCTATTTTATATCACATTTATTAAATTGTTTAATATTAACCAAAATCCTAAAAGCAATAAATCTAACTTAATTATCTAATTTGAACTATTTTAATTTTAAGACATACAGTCAAAATATTTGGACGATTATTATTTGTTGAACTAGTTATGTTTAATTGCAATATATATGCACGTAATGTTTTGAATCTTTTATTTGAATATTATTGAACTAGTCGCATTTAATTTATAAAAGATATAGCGTTGTAACAAGTAATAAAATATTAAAAAAAATTAAAAAATATTTAGATGGATGACCCATCAACCAAACCACCAACCAACCCATTAAATTGGTTTTCAACCATCACCCAACCCATGTAAGTTGGGTCGATAACGGTTTCCAATATTTACCAAAGTTGGTTGGATGAGTTGGGTTGGTTTTATGCCTGGTTTTTAACCAAACCAACCAACGCACAGCCCTACTTATTAGACCTAATAATACGGGAAAATTTGAGAAAAATGGTAATTAATGCATAATTAAAACCTATTAGACCTAATAATATTGGAAAATTTGAAAAAAAATGGTAATTAATGTATCATTGAAATTCTCAAATAATAACAACACAAGAAAAGTCCTTGAAATATACTAGGAAATACTCCCCCGTTCCTAAATAATTGTCACTTTTCACTTTTCACAAAAATTAAGAAACTCATAATTGTCACTTTTCACTTTTCACAAAGATTAAGAAACTCAATAAATATATCTTGATTTTAGAAAAATCATATAAAAATGACTAAAACAACCTTTAATATTTAATGATTTATAAGAGAAAATTAATGAATAGAGTTTCATTAATAAGTGACAGATAATATGGAACAATTTTTTTAAAAAAAAAGGACAGTTATTGTGGAACAGAGGGAGTACAGTTTATTTAAGTCAATAAAACAGATGGCAACTGAACTAAACTTGTATTGCATATTTGGTAAAAAAAAATAGTTATATTTTGGGTGTTACTTTAATTCATCAAACATAACTAAATCATTGTAGTTTACAAGTCACAACTCCATTACTGTTTCTGTAACTTTCTGATCAAATCTTTCATTTGATGCTAATTACTATCTCCAGTATTACATATACTTTAGCCACATGCACAAAAGAATAGGTTAGCCCCTCACAGAAGAAATAAACACACAAAAGAATTAATTAGTGATCTAATTAGAGCAATAAATTGATCAGAAAGGGCTAACAATACGGGCCAAGCGCAACATGAGCTCTGGCACTAGCCGTTTTCTTGGTGTGGCCTTAGCATCTTTCGCCGCGGCTTCCGAGTCGCCTGCATGAATCATCCCTACCAAATCTTCAAACAAATCATCTCTTCCTCCTCTCATAGGATCCTATTTAATAAAAATAAATAAATAAATCATCAACATAAATCATGACAGCGTTATTATTTTACTTATCAAAAAAAAAAAAAAAAAGACAGCGTTATTATTTAATTAATTAAATCAAGAAAACTTGATTAATGTAGCACGTTTTAAATGCGTCGTCTAGCTAGGGTACCTGAAGAAACAGATCCGTGTGCGTTTTCCCTTCGTAAAGAACTGATTCCGCTTCAACTCCCATGCTTTGAAGAACCTCCGCGAAATTTTTACTGTTGGAAGAACAAAGAAGAACAATATTTCAGGTCATCGTTAATTGCGAATCTCTTGTCCTGAATTATTCTTATTTGTGCAACATAATTGTATATATTTAATTTTTGTAATGTAGACAAATTGCGACGACATTCCAGCACACAACCTCATAAATGGTGCGTTTTTAGGGGGTAGATTCTAATAAAATTGAATCATATGGGGCGATTTTGCTAACATTTAGGACAAAATGCACTCCACCCCCTATAATTTTCCTATTTTTGCACTTCTCCCCCTGAAAATTCAAAAAAGGGATAGTCCCCCTTCGAAATACTATTTTGGTTGCACTTTGCCCCATAAACCAATTTTTGGAGGGCATTGTGCAATAAAAATAACATTTTAAAGGGGTAACGTGCAAAAAAATAGTGTTTTTAAGGGGCAACGTGCAACAAAAATACTCAATTCCGATTACTAATCCATTGGAGTTTTGTTATGGGGGCAATGTGCAACAAGAATAACATTTTGAAGGGGGACATTCACTTTTTTTAAAATTGACAGGGTAAAGTGCGAATATTAGAAATTTACAGGGGGCGATGTGCAATTTGCCCTAATATTTATAACACGAGGAGTTTTTAAGCGATTGGAGTAAACAGTAGGGGTACTAAATGTAATAAATCCTATCCGCTATCCGTTACTATATCCACACACAACTGTTGTTATATGATTAAGCCGAATCATCTATAATCTAAAACAAAATTAAAAAAATAACGAGTTGCTACAATAACTAAATCGGATTCGAACCTGGAATCGGAGGGGATAGAATAATCAGCAGTTCCATGGAAAAGAACCGTACGAGGCAAGAGAGAAACTGCACCCTTATTGTTTGGGTCCCGCACCATCACTTCGGGAGAGTATCTACGTAAAGATTCTTCCCCCTCCATTATGCTGTGCAGTTGAGATAACCCATGAAATAAGAAACGACATAAAACAAATACATCCATTACAAAACGGAACTGAGGGAAAAAGTACTTAGTACCTTAAAAATATCGAGCGGTATAAACCTCGACTGTGGAAATGGTCTACCAGGTTGAAAAGATTGTACCTGTCCATAACCGTTTTATTTCAAAAATTTAATTATTGCAAATGGTACCTTTGTGTTATATCGAATTGCTAAAAAAACCCCTGTGTTATTTTATCGGCAAAAACACCCCTATGATTTAAATCATATGGGGTTTTTTGCAAATAAAATAACATGGGGTAGTTTCTTCATAATTCGATATAACACAAGGGTACTAATTGCAATAAACCCGTATTATTAACTATACGGAATAAGCTCACCCTCCAGATAAACCAAAATAGGCTTTTATTCGAGACACACTCCACGAAGTTTTCTCGCCCCGAGCCTCTTTAATTGCTTGCTCTAATAAAGCACAAGAAGCAATATGTGCACCAGCTGACTGCCCCATAAGATACACGCTACGCAAATAATAACGTAAAAACGGGGCTATTAAACTATTAATTCTTCAAAAAGATAAAAAAAAAATAGCATCTTAATGTTGGAAAAGGAGTTCAAAAAGGAGATTACTTGTTCGGGTCGCCTCCGTATTCAGCGATGATATTGCACACGAACGAAATACCTTGAGAAGCATCTTTCACCATATCACCGATAGTTCCTTGAGGAAAATTCCTGCATTAACCAAATTAAAACGGAGAACCGGCAAGTATAATTATCTTAGATTAAACATTTCAAAAAAAATAAACGAAAAAATCGAGTTACCTGTAATCTATGCAAGCCACTATAATATCTCTTTCTGATAGTTGTTGTCCTAAAAGAGAACCCCATGCTTTATAGCTGTGCATCGGCAGAAAGCCCCGTTAGATATTAAAACGAGGAAAAGCTTATAAATTATGCATAGCTATAATTCCCATTTACCCGATTTTAAATATATATCTATATCGACAAATGCATACATAACATACCCGATAATCCACGCTCCACCTGTTACAAACGCAACAACTGGTTTCGGTCCGTTTCTATTTTTCGGTAAATAGAGATCGAGCCTGCGGTAAAAGTCACTTTTAAATGCAGTTATAAAAAAAAAAACAGAGTGTAGTTAAAACTTAAATGCAGGCTGTGAAACGATACCTATTTCTCGGCTGGTCTCCGTAAATTACACCTCTACGTATTTGACTCGAGAAGAAGTAGTAGTATCCCACTGCAACCCGAAAGTAAATAAACAATTTAAGCAGTCGATATAGCATGTTAAAAAAAAAAAGATTTATGCAGCATGTACAAATCTTAATGTACAATGTACAAACCTTGGATAAAACCAGGGAAAAGAAGAACTGCATAACAACCTAGGGCTAGAAATCTGAGGATCCATCTGTAGCCTACCCTGAATAAAGAAAATGATTAGATTGTGTTTTAATTTAATTTAATTTTGTGTCTGAAGAATATTCCACATGTAATAAATAATATAATTGAAATTACCCCTATGCATGCAACACACACACACACACACACACAGTAATGAAGATGAGATTTTACCCCAAATATCCCAACAGCTTGAAGCTGAGGCGAGTGATCAGATAGGTGTCGGAGGCAGCTCTGCCCATCTGCCGGAACGGCTGGCGGCGGGCGGCGGACGGGGTGAAAATGGATGAGGTATCGCTGGCCACGCGCCGCCGTCTCTGCTTCTGATTCAGATTCGGTTTGGCGGTTAGGGCGGCGGAAGGGGGGGCGTATGTGTAGCTTAGCGATCTGGAAATGAGGGGTTTGGATTCGATTTCCTTGTCGTCGTCGTCGGCGGCGGAGGAAGGAGGGATGGTGATTTTTGTGGCGTCGCCGCGCAATTCATCTTCGGATCCGAGCAGCATTCTGGCCGACGCTGCGGCGGCGGCGGAGGCGGTTTCGATCATCGGAGGAAACGAGGATGTGGTGGTGGTGGTGGGATTAGATGTGATAGCATATATATATATATGTGGATTGAGTAAATTATTAATTAATGGATGTGTTTGGGTGGGTGGAATGAGTTGGATTTCAACATTCTGTTGAATTTAGTTCAAATTCTTTGATCAGAAATTTTTGGCTGAAAGAGAATTCAATTTTGAACATTTTGGGTAGCGTCCACTTTTGCTGACGTGGCAGGTTGGGCAAAGCCAGGTGGGTGACACGTGTAGTGTTGTGATAAGCATGGGAAACTTTGGAATTGGTCTATTTGCTATCTCTTTTGTCCTGTTGCTGCTTTTTGTGGGCTTGCTTTGCTGTTTTTTCCTTTTCTTTACTTTATCTATTAAATAAATAATAGGTAAATTAAAATGTCATGTTTAAACTTTAAATAATTATTCCTCGAGTGTGTATCTTTTTACATATTCATCCTGATACTGTCAAATTTAGTGGAATCTTCTAGATTATATGAAATATCTTTCAGTTTGTACCCGTTTTATTTCATTCCATCTCCATATTTAGAAATAAAATAATCATAAAATGTGTATATTGACTTATAAATATCAGATTGTGTAGCATCTCAAACTTTTATTTTGTACAAAACAAGTACAAACTAGAAAACATTTCATGGAATCGAGAAGATTATGTTGAATTTGACACCATAAGAGTGGACGGGTGACGTGTAAGAGAATTCATAGTTGAGAATAGGGGTGGGCATTCGGGTCGGGTTATTCGGGTATAACCCGACCCGGTCGGGTATTACCCGATCGGATCGGGTAATTTTTTACGTAACCGGGTTTTTCCCGGGTTCGGGTACCCGGTGCTCCCAAACCGAGTCGGGTCCGGGTATTAGAAATCCTACCCGGGTACCCGATCGGGTACCCGGTTGAATTTTTTTTTTTTTTTTTTTTTTTATATATATAAAGATATATATATATATATATATATATATATATATATATATATATATGTATATCAGTATATGTATATCAGTGACAGTATAATGTATATGTATATGTCTATATATATATATATATATATATATATATATATATATATATATATATATATATATATATATATGTATATCATATATATATATATATATATCTTAAGTAAATTTAGTTATTGGTTATTTTTCAAAAAAAAAAAAAAAAAAAAAAAAAAAAAAAAGAGGAAAATAGCGAAAGCCGTACCCGACCCGAGATAACCGGGTACCCGGTTATTTCGGGTCGGGTTCGGGTAATTTTTTTTTTGCAAAAAACCCGAATAACCCGACCCGAATAACCCGAATAACCCGACCCGACCCGAATGCCCACCCCTAGTTGAGAAGGTGGTTGTAATTACCCAAACACTATGGATTTTTTTGTAATTTGACATTACCTTAGGGGGTTGGCCGTAATTTACCCAATAAATATTTTACAATTCCGCTCTTTCATTTACACTTATTACATTTAGCTTTGTAGAAATTCAATTTAAGCAAATTTGTTTTTCTATTAAAAAAAAATAGGGAAAATCATCTAAACTTGAAACTTGTTCATAGATTTTTCTTGAAACCGATAAAATATAGGCTTTTACTTTTCCTAAAGAGTTGCTTGATAGATTTTGTTGGATTAAAATACAAACTTTGTTCGAAAATTTTGACATAAGAAGATTTATATCACCAAGAAAAAATGCGTCTGCAATAGGTGCAAGTTCATTGTTGTTGTGTCTAAGCGAGGCGCAACTTTTGGTGTTTACGGCAGACACAAATTTATTGTTTTCGCATCTGCAACAAGCACAAATTTATTGTTTTCGCATCTGTCACGGACGCATTTACGAGTGTCGTGCATCTGATTCAAGTCAAAATTGACGTAAAAAATAGACTTTAGCCCCACTTATCCTGGATTTTGAATGTTATTTCAAAAGAAATTCAAGCAAGTGTTATGTATTCGGGTTATGCGAAAGAAATATGGATGTGACCATACTATTTTTTCTTATCCAAGCATTATGGAGTTCTGGATCATCGTCTGTTGGTGCTACGATCGTACCATTAATAAACCCCAATTGTTATTCACATACAATGAGATAAATTTCACCGTGCGACTCTATGAGGCGAAGTTATCTTCTGTAAGAAGTTGTGAGACCGAAACGAGGCCGGGACCATCAGAAGGATGAAGATAGAAAGGTCTTGATACGTCATCAATACGCATACGAGTAGTCGCCGGCCATGGATGAATTTCAAGGAAGTAAAATCGGAAGAAATTGACCGAGATGTCTAACATTGAACCGTGATTCATAACCAACAATGCAAAATCAAGAAGAAAATATCTAAAATCGACATCATGTAAAACAATGAGAATTGGAATCGGAAAATCGTCATGAACGGAAAACAAAGAGAAGAAAAACGAGCGAATTTCATCAATGAGCGTATAACGGTCATATTAGTTACAGAGAAGAGTCTGAGCTGTCCTGTTTATAACGAATACAAAGTTGCTGAAATAGAGAATCGTGTCTACAGAAACACGATTACAATGTAAAACTTAATAAATGATAAACGCAATACGAATATTACTAAAACTAATTTGTTTTTTTTTTTTATATATAAGAACAATATCAATCTATTCAAGAAATGAGAATAATATTTCATCTTTTTATTTGTTGTTTTTATCTAATTAATTACGCGGTTCGTGATATTCCTGCTCGAATTTTATAGACCACCTATGTATGTTTCTATTGTGGGATACAAATTATCTTGGGGATGAAGGAGAGATTCCACAATAATCTGTATTAATTATCAGAACATGACATAATAATGTAACATTAAAATGTGAAAATAATTTATGATATATTAATATTACATACATGTTTATACTAATACGAAATACCAAAGCCTATTAAAACTGAATATTTTAGGTAAATATTAGCATCATGATGAGGAGTTTATGTAATTTGGAGTGGAGATGATAAAGATGCAAAAAGGATATAATCGGAAGGTGTCTGACGAGTGTCGAAGCATCATTACTCACAGCCCGTCAATCGAAATTCCGATAAATATATCTCCACATATATATATAATGTGATCTTACTTCTCTACAGAAAAGAAAAAAAAAACACTCATTTGTCATAACATCAGACAATTATATAATATTTACAGCCAAGATGGTGAAATTCTCGAAGCAGTTTGAAGCTCGGTTAGTTCCCGAATGGAATGAAGCCTTCGTTGACTACAGTCAACTCAAGAAAGATCTCAACAAAATCCATCTCCTCGATAGTAATCAGATCAGCTCGAATAAATTTGTTTCTTCTTTGAGAAAGTACACTTTTCTTGGACATAATAAGCACAAGCAACATAGCCTCATTCAAGTACTAATTAATTAATCCTTGTCATAATCGATAATCGTATTTTCCGACACCCTTTTTTTTCCCATGTAATATATAATTTATCATGTAATTTTCAGGTTCGTAAGAAACTTTCGACCTCGGCTAGTAAGGGAAACTTGTACGAGACTGAACTTACCGAACGATTCTCCGATAGTGAAGAAGCTGCAGTAGTTCGTGAGTTTTTTTCGTGTTTGGATAATCAACTCAACAAAGTGAACGCGTTCTTTAGTGCAAAGGAAAAAGAGTTTCTTGACAGGGGAGAATCTTTGAAGAATCAAATGGAGATTCTCGTCGAGCTCAACACTTCGTTAAGTAAACAACGAGACGACGACTCAAATGAGGATTTTTCTATATCAGCCACTATATCATGTGGTAATGTAACAAACACACGTACACACACAAACACACGTACACACACACACACACACACATATATACATATCCTCTGCTTTTATAAGTTTTTTCAATTAAAAATGTCTATTACTTGCACTAATTTTAACAAGATTTTCGATTGTTGATAGACGAGGGCTTCAATAGGGAAATCACGGAAATCGATCTTTCGGACTCTCCTAAATATGGTGCGCTAAAAAAATCGATTGACCGAGTTGTCAAATTCAGACAGAAGGATTTAAGAATTCACATTCCTTTAACGAATCCAACGCGCACGTTTTCAGCTGTCACGTATTTGCTTTGGGATGATCTGATAAACCAATCATCCAAGAAACGTGGAACGGAGGGAAATAATAAATTGCATATTAATAAAAGGAAGCTATACCGTGCGGGGAAAATGATTAGAGGAGCGTTTATCGAGCTTTACAAAGGATTAGGGTACCTCAAAACTTATAGGTATATATGATCACTTGTTCATAGTATTATTATCTTGATAACTTGTAATTAATATTTATGAATTTTGATTTTTTTCTGAAATTGTACTCTAGGAACTTGAACATGCTTGCTTTTGTCAAGATTTTGAAGAAATTCGACAAAGTGAGTAATATGCGACGACGAATCTTCGGTTCGGTTGACATGCATATTATTTAATTAATTATTACCCTTTTAAAAAAAATAATTAAATTCATGGCCAATAAAGTTTAAGTGGTTTTCAGGTGACTAATAAACAAGTTCTTCCCATTTATTTGAGAGTGGTTGAGAGCTCATACTTCAACAGTTCAGACAAGGTGAAAATCACCTAGCCGAAAAATTACATATTTTTCTTTTTTTTTTTTAATTTCGTTACATATTTTTATTTAATTTCATTAAATTATGTCCGGAAATTTTTAAGTTGAGTTTCCTAAATTTAATTTATCAGGTTTTGAAATTAGAAGATGAAGTTGAGGAGCTCTTTGTCAAGCATTTTGCTAAAGATGATCGAACAAAGGCCGTAAAGTACCTTAAACCAACTCACAGAAAAGAATCACATTCTCTGACATTTTTCGTCGGTGAGTTTTAATTTCTTGCAATAATTCCATGTTGCAATAGTCGAAAAAAAAAATTATTTTACTTTTTAATTTCAACATCTGTTTCTTGATTCCAGGACTATTCACGGGTTTTTTCGTCGCGCTTCTCGTTGGATATGTGATCATAGCGCATACTACAGGAATGTACGAAATTAAATCCGATTCGATGTATATGGAAACTGTATATCCAGTCCTTAGGCAAGTACATACTTCAAAAATAATTACAAATTCAATCAACCATTAATTTTCGATATCTAATTAATTAATCGTATATATACGTACACTCTAAATTTAATTTGCAGCATGTTTAGCCTGTTATTCCTACATTTATTCCTCTACGGGTGCAACATTGTTATGTGGAGAAAGACGAGAATAAATTACAGCTTCATCTTCGAACTTTCTCCGACAAACGAACTGAAACAAAACGGCATATTCTTGATTTGTAGCACATCAATGGCTGCTGTCGTAGGAATCTTTTTCGTTCACCTCTCACTTGTTGCGAAAGGATATTCTTTTATTTCTCGAGTTCAAGCCGTCCCTGGAATTATACTCCTGGTATATATATTTTTCAACATCATTAATTTATAATTAATAAACAAACTCTCTAAGTATCTAATTAGTACCAAGTAAAAAAAATTAATTGATTTTTTTTTTTTTTTTTTTTTTTTTTTGTAGGGGTTCATACTAGTGTTATTGTGCCCATTCAACGTAATCTACAAGTCGAGCCGTTACCGTTTCATTTCCGTAATAAGGAATATAATCTTATCGCCTTTTTACAAGGTTGTAATGCTGGACATTTTCATGGCTGATCAACTTTGTAGCCAAGTAAGAATTAATATATATTATTCAAATATTTATATATAATAAATTAAATGACATATTTATTTAATAATAACTTAATTAGATCATAATTAATTTGTTCTAATGTTTTATTGATGATCAGGTGCCCATGCTTAGAGAGCTAGAATATGTAGCATGCTACTATATAACTGGAAGCTACAAAAATCAAGATTATCAATATTGCATGAGAAACACTTACTATAGGGATCTTGCTTATGCAGTTTCCTTCCTCCCATATTACTGGAGAGCCATGCAGGTTAATAATTATTAGCAAACTCCCCCCTATAATTCAATTTTATTAGCAATCGACCCCCTAAAAATGCACCATTTACGCGATCGTCCGCTAAAAAAATGCATCATAGGTTTTTTTTTTTAATGTCTATAACACGAGGATCGAAGAGTTTAATATCTAATTGTGATGTTTTGCAGTGTGCTAGAAGGTGGTTCGATGAAGGTGAAAAAAGCCACCTACTAAACCTCGGAAAATACGTCTCCGCCATGCTGGCGGCCGGAGCCAAGGTGGCGTACGAGAAGGAGAGAACCGTAGGATGGCTTTGTCTAGTTGTGGTGTTGTCAAGTGCGGCAACTCTTTACCAGCTGTACTGGGATTTCGTTAAGGACTGGGGCTTGCTCCGGTTCGACTCCAAGAACCCGTGGCTAAGAGACGAATTAATGCTTCGACAAAAGTTTATTTACTTTTTATCCATGGTATATATATTCTTTAATCAATATTCCACCTGATTAATTAATCAAAAGATTCCAAATGATTAATGAACTATTTACATATCACATTATTGTACAGGGATTGAATCTTGTTCTGAGGCTAGCTTGGTTGCAAACGGTTTTTCATTACAACTTCGGAAAAGTCGATTACCGAGTGACGATGCTGTTTTTAGCAGCACTTGAGGTTGTAAGAAGGGGACAGTGGAATTTTTACAGGTAATTAAATATACTGAAATTATATTATTCTGATATCAATTTAATTGTGGAAATTAATTAACTTATGAATTATTTTTATTTTTTTTTAATTTGAAACAGATTGGAGAATGAGCATCTGAATAATGCAGGAAAATATAGAGCTGTTAAGACAGTGCCACTTCCATTCCATGTAATGGATGAGAAAGATTGATTAATTTATACTTTGGTCGCTCGCTGAACATGTGCAGGTAGTGGACGCGTTCTGAAGTCTATAAATACCAGTCCACATTGCCAGTTTTCACTACTGATGCTAGAAAAGAAAAACGATTAAAATTATTAATATATCTCTCTCTTAGATTTTGCTGTAAGTATTCATCTTTGGCGCATAGTTTATAAGTTAAGAGATCTGTTAGTTTGTGTTGAAAAAACTTGACTTGACTGTACGAAGGATCTGTTTAAGATACCTTTATAATAGAAAAGATTGTTTACATCCTTTCATGTGTGTTCTTGTACTTGTAATAATACTGTTTAAATAAGTATTTCGCCTTTGAAGACAATCGGTCCAAAGTATTTACTTGTGAATTAAATATTAAATTCCGTGTTTCTTTTCATTTATTCCGTCGTATGTTATGTTAAGTGTTATCACACTTCACATGACATTTATGTTTTAATTATTTACTACGAATTCGGAGACTCTAGTAGAATTTTTTTTTTTTTACTACGATCATTAACCGTAGCAAAAGGTATCAAATTCGTACTAAAAACGCCTTTGCTACGCATTTGCTACGTAGCATATACGGGTGTGACAAAAGCTATGCATGCTATGGTAAATGACCGTACCAAATACTTTTTTACTACGGTAAATTTTAGTATTTACTACGACTTCAAAATTGTTCTGTAGTAAAAAGTACATTTTATTACCCTTTTTTAGCAAAAAAAATGGTAGTAATAAGCAAATTTTCTAAATTGAATTTCATTATGAAGAAATATATAACTAATAAAATCCTCCTCAAAAGGCTTTTGAATTTCATTATGAAGAAGGCAATGCACACAATTCACAAATAAATAAATTAGGTTACACATTCTAAAAATAATATCTAAAATCTAATTCAAACAATTACTTCAACAAATACATTTAGATCTTTATTATTAGCTTCTAGCACAGAGTAACTAACTAACTAACTACTCAGTGATGTTTCTGGCTCAGCCTCAAAGCCACATAAGCCAACACCCTATACCCGACGAGCATCACCGCCAGAGCCGCCACATCAGCCGCCAAATTATGAATACCGAGATATTTTATCGCCGGAGAATCGACCACCCTACACACCGAACCCAACCCACACTCGTAAACCTCGTTTTCCGAATACTGCACCCCAACTAAAAGCCTGTAGCAGAACTGACTAAACGAAACGTACTTCAACCAATCAATAAACGGCGGGATGTGCTGAATATAGTATCCACTTACTAATAAAAAAACAAGCATTAAAACCGACGACAGAGTCGTGGCCTGTTTTACGTCCATTAGAACTGCGCCGAGGGCTAACCCTAATCCCTGCGCGACGAGCACGTTGAGCAGGACAATCGAGAGTGTTAGTAGGAATGTGATTAAGGAGGGTTTTAATCCCCCCATCCAATACGTTATTGTTACGAATAAAGTCGGCAAGACGAGCTCCATCGGTAAATCGCCCACGATTCTTGCTGTGTAGTAAGACGAGAGGCGGTACATTCCGGAAGAAGTTTCTCGCGCGAGCATCGGCTTTTCTTGTGGGAACACGAAGATTGCGTTGAATAGTGGGAAAAATCCCCAGAAAATCGAGAAGAAGAAGAGTAGTCCCACCTGGTGATATAGAAAATCAAAATTTTTGGTTATAAATTATAATGTTGTTTCTCATTTCCAATAATTAATCGTGGATGGCAAAATTGTAAATCATGTCGTCTAAGTTGTCTTATTTCAATTTTACATGCGCGCAGTTACTATGCAAAGTTGGCATTTTTGGTCCTATTTCGCTCAGACTTTGAATTTTATGCAAATTTATTTAAATGGGAGCTTTGCTTGAAAATTAGTACTAGCGCGCTAGCTCTTCTAACTTGGTTTATATACTCGTCCTTTCGCATAAGAATCAAAGTTCTATCAAGGCTGAGTAAGATTTCGAATTATATAATTTTTAAGGGTCATAATAAGTAAAATCCGTCATGTTTATTTGTGTGTAGTAAAAGTAAAATTTGATGCAACATCGGGCCAAAACTAAAACCTATGACAAGTTAGATGACTAAATTCCTAAATAGGCCAAATACAGAGGACTAAAAGTACAATTTTCTCAATCATGGATGCAAATAAAGTGGAAAAAAAAAATTATTTGTTTAAATTTTTTACCTGATCTTGAATGTGATTTGGATCGGAATGCCACCACAGAATCCCGGAGAGAATCGAAACGGACATGACTTGGAAAATTCGTAAACCGGAAAAGGACTCGTGTTTCCTTTCTTTAAGCCCCCTGCTTAACAACACCCTGAATTGCAACCACCAACTGCTGGTCCATTGATTGTCTGAACCTATACATACACATTAATTAAAACACACACACACACACACATTATGTTAAGGCACATTTAACACGTGTGAATATATATATATATATATATGACATATGCATTAATTGGGACTTACTGGTTGATGATTTAGTGGAATGGGGTTGAATATGATGCTGGGAGGGGAGGTGGTGAATTTCTTCCTTGAGAAGAGGATAAATGTTGTTTTTGTAAGAGTGTATCAGAAATTGTTTGGTTGATTGGATAATATTATCATGCTTATTATCTTGTCTCCCATTTCCATGCAACTCATTTTCTTCTTCCTGTCTTGAGTCTGGTGTCACACCTGCCCATGTTATAAATTCATTACTTAAATTACACAAATAACCCCAAACTGAGAGGGAAAAAGAATTACTTCAATTTCTTGATTTTTTTTTAATAATAAAAAAATCATTTAAATTCATTTATCGTGGATAAGTTATTGATGTATGACTTTGGAGTACTTCATCTATCATCATAATTTGTCAACCGCAAAAAAAAAAATAAAAAAAATAAAAAATAAATAAATAAATAAAAAAAAATAAAAAAAAAATAATAATAATAATATAAAAATAAAAATAAAATAACCATGGGCAATTATGGTCAACCCACCCCTGGTAAGGTCAAATTACAAACAAATCATTTTGTTTGCGTAATTATAGCCACTCCTCAACTATGTGTTTTCCTACATGTTTACCCTTACGTTTTCAAATGTATACAACGGTGTTCATCTGGAGGGTAAACCGACCAAACCAAACGAAAGTTCGATACATGCCGATTAATGATAATTCGGTTCGATATTCAGATTTTTATTTTTATATGAAATATTAGTATATAAACCAAAATTAATTAAAAAATATACAACATGTTAAATATTGTAATAAAATTTCAATAAGTCAATTATTTACCAAACCAACGGTATGAAAATTTGGCGTACCGAAATTTCGGCACGATTTTACCGAATGAAAACCTCTAAATTTACCAATTAAAATTATTTTTTCATAAGACAATGAATAGTTGAGGGGTGACTGTAATTATGCACACAAGAGGGTTTTTTCGTAATATCAGAATAAATAAATAATAATAATAAATTTAATACCATTTGCAAGATCGAGTAGAAAATCAGCCGGGTTCACGAAATCAAACCCGGGAGCATACCCAATGGACGCAAAGTAATCCATAACCCGACCCGCACCGCCGCTGTAAATCGGGCAACCTTCCGACAGCACAATCACCTTATCGAACATCCTGAACAACCTACTCGACGGCTGATGTATAGTGGTCACCACCGTCCTGCCGCCACGCGCCACCCACCGGAGCGTCCCCACAATCCTCTGCGCCGTCGTGGAGTCCAGCCCCGAAGTCGGCTCGTCCACCAGCAACAGGCTCGGATTCACAAGCATCTCTTGCCCGATACTCACCCTCTTCCTCTCGCCCCCCGACACCCCCCTCAACAACGGGCCCCCGATTACACTGTTCCTGCACCGGGTCAGCCCGAGTTCCATCACAATGAACTCAGCCTGCTCCATTTTTTCCTCCTTAGTGAGTGAACTCGGTAGTTTAAGCAAGGCCGCGTAGGTTAGGGTTTCCAGAACCGTGAGGTGAGGGTATAGCACGTCGTCCTGCGTTACGAACCCCGTTTTCCGCTTCATGCAGCTCCCGGAGAAGGACTGGCCGTTGTAGCTGATCGTGCCGGAGACTTTTCCGGAGAGTTTTCCGGCGAGGGCTGTTAGTAGGGTTGTCTTGCCGCTGCCGGACGGGCCCAGCATCGCCAGAAGCTCGCCCGGCCGGACGGTGCCCGTAACGCCGTTTAGCAATTTACGCGTTACCTTAGGCTGAGAAGATGCACAGCAATTTGTAGCTCCGCTTCTTCTGCTTAACTTTATTGTGTACGAGACATCCTCGAACTTAAGCGTGACGGGGCGTAACGATTCGCGTAAAACGGAGCATCGGACAAGAATTGCATGATTAGTATTATTATTATTATTATTATCGGGAGGCAATTGATGATTGTTATCAAGAGAGGGGCTAACGTTGTAATTATTGGGTTGTTCAATTTGTATAGAAATGTTGTCAGTTGAAGCAGTAGTGTTTTCTTGCTGAGGGGGCATCATTTTTTTTTTGGAAGATGGATAAGAAATTGGAAATTAAGGGAAAAGAGGAAACTTAATACTGGAAAGAAAAGAGGTGATAAAGGAAGATTAAATAATGGGATTGTTGTGTTTAAATAAAGGTATGTGTGTGTTAAATGATAATTATCACATTCACATGCATAAGAAAAAAAGTGAAAAATAATGCACGAGAAATGAATTGTGTTGCGACTTGTTGATATAGGCCGAAGCACAGTGCGTTCTTCATAAAGTTTTTTTTTTTAGAAAATATTGTTCATAAAGTAATTAAATGCAAAAAGTCCTTTTTAACCTTTTTTATTTAATTTGAAATTTTGATATTCAAACATATTTAATAAGGTGTCTGTCGAGTGTCGGACACGAAACGTATGTGAAACACGGCATCGTTAATAAGTTGAAGTTTTCATGCTACGTACATAGATAAGATTTCGATGCTCTATATCAGGTTTGTTAACATATATAGGGGTGGTAGTATTTTTGGAAAAAATCCTATATGTTTTAAGTGAAAAACTAATTTCAATTTCATTCTAGAAACATTCAAGAAAATTGAAAAATCAGGACTTCGGAAAAATAGGATTGAAAAAAACTTGTTAATTCCAAAATTGAAAATTTTCGAACCAGAACTGACGGAATTCGAAAGTTCTATTTTTAGTCACCTATAAAATACATATAATAACATTGATAATATAAATGTAATATTTTTAAAATAATCCTGTTTTCAAAAATACTTTCAAAAATTAAAACAAGATTCATAAATTCGCATTTTACGAACAGTAGCAAACCCAAAATAGGTCTGTGGGGGGCAATTACCCCCGTTCGCTTTTAAAAAATGTAATATTCATATTTTGCTGCGTGAAGAGAAAATCCTGATTTCGCTACTGATTAAGTGATCAAGAATTGAGGGGGCTAAAAATGCATGAACCAAGTGTTCTAAATAGTGATGACACTAAGGAGATACCCATTTAACGTGTCACAATAATGCAAAGTGAAACTTAATTGTGACGATCGGCCACTTGTTGGAACTACAAAATGCGAATATAAACCAAAAATTTCTCATCACAATAGTGTAAATATACGATATTTATTTTTTTCGATCGGTCTCAAATTTATTCTTTCTCCGAATGTCCGAACGCACGATTCCATTTCCTCAATTTCGACTTTATTTTTTAGATCATATTGTTTGATTACATCAAAATACGGGCTGTATATTCGTTAATTTATTGACCGCTATTTTTCTGACATAAATTATACTAAAAAGGGCCCTTAAGATATATGTTCCTACTGAGAAAACTTATTATAACTAAATGACAAGCTTAACTAAATCTATGCTACACATTCTTATAAAATTCATTCCAAAAATGTCCCCCACTCACAAATTTAAAATATGCTTTAATTAAAATTCATATTGCATTTATCATCTTTTTAATCTGGAATATTTTCATTTTTCCATCTTATATTTTTATTTTTATTTTTACAAAAGACACATTATTCTTTTTTCTTTTTTTCTTTTTTTCTTTTCTCTTTCTTCATTTATGCATTTTCTACACTAATATAAAACAAAAATAAATCCTATTTTTTCTATATAATACAGAAAATTACAAAAAAAAACATTTTTTTTTTATTTTTTTAATCCAATTTACATATGTTTTTATATTTTGTTTTAATTTTATCTGTTGTTAATACTATTATAATAGAATTTGGTGTACTGTGATACACTACCATGTACTATAGTTTACGGTATACTATAGTTTATTGCTGCGTATTATGCTTTACTACGGTATACTATGGTTTACTATGACGTAGTATTTCAAACCCTAGCATCAAAAAAAAATTGCCAGCCGTCGGCAAACCCTAGAGCAAACAAATCACAGCCGCCGCCAACTACTATCCACCAACACTAGCCGTCAACCAAAACCCTAGCGCCGTAAAAAACCCTAGGTTGATGCAATTGCCTCCAACCATCGATCTAACCTCACACCACCATCTCCAATGCCCACCTCCACTATAACCATCACCTGATCTATAACCACGACCACCACCGCCATCGACCCACCTCTGCTGCCCCCTTCTACACCCACATTCTCCCCCACCACTGCACCGTCGCCGAGGTCTCCAAGAACCTCGAGATCTTCAGATCTATGCATCGCCTCCTTCACTCTACTCTACTGTTCGGCGACAGATCTCGATGGATCCTCAAAATCTTCAGATAAACCTAATCTTTTATTATTTATATTAAGGGTATTTTTGGGTTAAACAAAAATAAGGGTGTTTTTGGGTTAAACAAAAATAAAAGGATGTGAGTCAAATTTTATTTTGAACTAAGGATTTAGTTAAGATATTTTATTTGAGGTTGTCATCTACTTCAAATTAAGTTCGTATTGAGGGGCTCCTAGCATATTACCCCACTAAAAAGTGACACAATTTTTTTTTCTCTTTTTTCTTTTTTAAATAAAAAAAAAAATTAATGTTAAAAGTAAAAGTGTAATAAAGAAGAGACAAAGGTGGTTTATATATCTAAATTACTTTGTTTAGTCAAAAAAGTTCAAGTGCTGATTCGATATGTGTCAAATTCTTATTCCATGGAGAAAGATAGTGCTGGACACTGTAACGTGTATCTTTGTATACATCGCATTTCTGAAGGTGCATGGTGTCTAAATCAAATGAAAGTCTTTTTTTTTTTTTTTTCTGTGTTTGTTTTTTTTTTTTTTAATTTTGGTTTTTTAATTTTAAGTTTTATATTTTACTTTTATATTTTATTTGAGATTTTAGAGTTCTAACTAAGAGCGTGAACAAGCCGAGCTCGAGCCCAATTCGCCTTTTTGGCAGGCTCGAGCTTGAGCTCGAGTCTATTTTGTCGAACTCGAGCTCGTCGAGTTCCTTCTTTTTTGGCTCTAACTCGAACCCAAGCTCATTTTGTTGTTTTTTATTTTTTTAATATATATTTTTTTAATTATTATTTTATTATTATTAAAAAATATTTTAAAAATTTACAAAATAAACAATAAATTGTAATTATATATATTTTTAATATTTATATTTTATTTTTATTTATCTCTATAATTTTTATATTATTATACATTATTTAAATAAAAACTAATATATAAAAAAATAAAAATAATAAATAAGGTTCGCGAGCCGACTCGTGAGCTCACGAACAACTAAAAACTGACTAGTCAGAGAGCTCGACCTCGTGAGCTCGAGCTCAAGCTTGAAAAACTCGAGTCCGGGTTCGAGTTTTTCTCGAGCCGGCTCATCGAGCTCACGAATCAGCTCGACTCATTTACCACCCTAGTTCTAAGACAAATTTTAAATAAATATCGAACAAAATATGTTTAATATTTCAAAAAAATTATATATATAATTACTTGATGTAACAAACAATATATAGAGAGAGTACACTTTTGATGTGTTTGATATATATAAGACTATTTTTGTATATGAAATATATATTTTTTTGGTGATAACCTCATTTGTGATTTAAAAACAAACAATTGTAGTAATAATTAATGCACATTGTATAATGTCCAACAAAAAAATATATTTTACTATTGAATGAAACAATTGGAGTTGATATTTTGGTTCGACAGTCGAGGGCGTCAAACACCATCGATGGCGGAGGTTTGTTAGCCCCTTATTCAGAGACATCGGCTAGGACTCGGGTGTGGCCGAGTCATGACCGAGAAATGGTGCTAAGTGAGGGATAGCAACAAGACAGCCATACATATCGACTATTATTTATATGGTTAAACCATATAATGCGTAAACTTCATGTATTTATATGATTAATAACGCACAAATCCGACTCATCTAAATAGAAAATTCAGATTGCATTGTTGAGCATTTGTGTAATTAAGAATTTTGTGTATTGTGCACCTTATTCTTCCTCTGTATTATTTGTGGAAAATCACTATAAATGTTGCGACTTGCCCAAATTGTGTTTGTGTGTTTGTTTTCGTTGCATACTCTTTCAACTTTTATGTTTGCCTTACAAAATCGTATGTTCTTGTCCGTTAATGGATAAGATCGAGCAAAGACTGACTAGTTTTTCGTGGAAACCAGATCATATGAAGATGAAATTTCTTGTGCAAAGAAACTTCCGTGACAGATATACGAAGTGACAAAATAAAATAAACGTACACGAAACTAAATTATATTGTACGTTAGAACATGCATGTGTGGGAACTTTATTAAAGAGAAACCAAATACAAAAATTGTCACCTGTATATATTTATTTTATCCTCAAACTCATTATTTACGTATTGCATCTTAGTTCATCATCGTAACTGTGTCGTGCCCAATGCTTCCACTAATATCAGTGCCCAATTTAATTTTTAATTTATTGTGTAAACAACCCTTTTCTTGATTGAGACAGGTACATTATCTATATATTGATTGGAAATTTTATTCGGTTTCTTACAAGTCCAATAATTTCTTAATGAAGAAATCAAAAAAAAATTAAGTGAAAAATAAATACTAATTCAATTTCAAGAAAAAAATTCGTAATTATGGGAGTTCAATTTTCAATCTACCCGTATAGAATAAAATAATGCATAATAAAATTAATAATATAAATATAATTTTTCGAAGGATGAAATATTCAAAATTGTTTTTTTCTTAATGAAACTCGGATGATAAATTAAAATTGAAATACTATTCAAAAATAAATTAGAGGGAAATTCTCTTTTATGAAACCGTATCATAAAAGAGAAATTCTGCACAGCTATTTAAGACGATATATTTTATGCTTAATAAAGTCAGAAATGATTGATAAGAAAGCACTTCAATTGATGATGACCATTCTTTTGAAAATAAAACAAAAATAAATTAGAAAAATAAATAAATTTGATGATTACCACGTGGTAGGCAATGACTGCAGCTTCAAAATATATATAGTTGGCGGCAATTAGTTCAATTAATATATACCATAGCTTTTTTTTTGACCTATTTTTATTGGTTTATTGAAAAAATTATCTCAAGGTGAAAAGTTGGTGTGGTGTCTATTTGTTGCACAAGTAAGAAAAGAGTGGCATATTATTCTACAAGAAAAGCAATGGATAGTTTGATATTACATTATTGGTGAAGTCAGGATTTGAAGTCCGGGAAAGACGAAAATACATTAAAAAAATTCTGAATAGAGACGTTATAAATGTTGTTATACACGAACTTTTTTATATTTTTATATAAAATAATACGAACTTAAGAAATGTTAGAGGGACCATGACTCTCTTTGACCATATGCTGGCTCTGCCACTGAATTTGCATCGTCAACTTTGTACATACTCTCATCCATACAACTTTTGGCACTACTAACATTTTCTTGTGTGTCGATATTGTAAATAAATTAATATATACTTTATATATAACTATTACATATTTTTCGAAATATAGAATCGAATATAACGGACAATTTTTGGCCTAAAACGGATAATAAATCGAGGCTTTTTTTAATTTTTTTTATCTCCTATTATTATAATATATGATGTGGAGTTCAATTGTATTTTTAAAAATAATTCTTCCAACTTTTGTAAATGCAAATATATTGGTTAAATCATCATATATTCAAGTTCTTCTAACATAGGTGGTTAAATATTACTAAAATTTATTAAATATATATAATATAATAACTTCAAAAAAAAGTTTATTAATTAGTTTTGTTTAGGATCAAATCTCTTAATTTTATATTGATGTCAACTTAAAATTAGGTCAACCTGCAGATGATGATGGTTCGTCAGAGTTCGACACTTGTTAATTAACATGCTTAAATATTATTTTGTATTATGATTTGTGATTATTAAGCTAATGCATCGGGAGATCTTTAGTTTAATTAACAATATAATAATAATTGTACGGAAAAACTAACATGTAATTGTGGGATTGGCATGCATGATTATTTAACATGAAAAATCCTTTCATATATATCTCTTTGTACGACTTTATTATAAGTGGGGTTAGTCGTCAGTTTACCTTTATTTTTAATAATATTTCAATTTAAAAAAATACAAAAATAAATATATAGAATACAAATAAACTAGAAAAAATAAAAATTATTATCTCCACATTAGCAAAAAAATCATAAAAAAAAAAGGGAAAACAAAATACATTAACTTCACGGGTATTTGAGTCAAAAATACACTTCCAGTCACAAATTAGGCGAGTGTAGTGCACGAATGACTCGCAGGGGCTTTATTGACCTTGAATAAATTTTATAGGCGGTTTTTTGCTTATTTTTTTAACATGGTTTTTTTGACAATTAAAGACTACACGGTGGGTAAGTGCTAAAAGCCCAATAAATGATATCTGAAATATAAAGAAATAAAATTCAAAATAAAAATAAATGATATATTGGGCTTTTTTAAGAACTTAACTTAGGCCCGAGCCCGTGACGTGTCCAGCCCAAATAATATTATATTATATTAATTTATTTATGGCCCACATACGACAGCGGGAAAAGACGAATAACCTTCTTGCCTTTCTTCCTGGAAATAAATTTTTGAATTTTGATCTTCGTGCCCTAATTTTCTCCCCCAATTCACTATAATATTAAATCAAATGTTAATGATATTTAGTGAAACTGAGAGGATATTAAAATAATTATCAAGGATTGGAGAAATGGAGAATGTTGGGGAGGAGGCACCGAGGCCTAAAGTTGCGGTGGTGGTGTTTCTGCTGAAGGGGAACAAGCTGCTGTTGGGGCGGCGCCGCTCTTCCGTCGGCCGCGACACCTTCGCGCTGCCCGGCGGCCACCTTGAGTTCGGTCAGCACTTACTAATTTGTTTTTATACATATTTGCAGATTTGTTTAGTGTAATTGTTTCCTTGATTTGTAGTAATAAATTTCTCGTCGACTGATGAAGACCTAATTAATCAGCGACTAATTGAAATGGGTTATTGATTAAGATAAGGGGGAGTTTAAGGAATTTAACAATTAAACATTTAATATGTGTTTAGCTCAGAAATTAGTCTTAATTTTTGTCCTTGATTAATGACAGAAACCAGAAACGGTGTCGTATTCTATGCCTAAGGGTTAGTCTGTGAGTGTGAGGACTGAGGAGTTTCTTGATTTATCAGATAATTTGTTCATAATAAATTATCTAGTAGTTCTCTGGCTGAGATTAGGGGTGGAAATTTAAACCTAATTTCCGAATTCCACTGGATTAAAAAAAAATCCAATTTTCAAACAACATTTTTTATTCCGGTTTCTGATTCTTTTGGAACGCTATTGGGGTACATATTAGATTTTGATTTCCGATCCGATTTTATCTCCGAAAATATTTCCACAAATTTCCGAAACTTACACTTGTGATGCTGATATTATTATATATTTTATGTTACAAGTGACTAAAAGTTTGGAATTTCCGGTTCGATTAGAAAATTTCCCATTTTGGGAAGAAAAAAATTCATTCCAATTTCCGAAATTCCCTTTTGATTGTTTTTGGAACAAAATTGGAATTAGTTTTTAACTTCCGAAAAAAGTTGAATTTTTTCCCCAAGTGTCAATTTCGATCCGATTTCGACCCTAAGTTGAGATAATTTCAGGTGAGAGCTTTGAGGAATGTGCAGCCAGAGAGGTGAAGGAGGAAACAGGGCTAGACATTCACAAAATCGAGTACCTAACCGTGATCAACAACGTCGTCTTGAGAGTGGATAAGCCTCTTCACATAGTAGCAATATTCGTGCGCGCATTTCTTTCCGATCCAAACCAAACACCACAAAATCCCGAGCCTGAGAAATGCGAGGGTTGGGATTGGTACGATTGGAAGAATCCCCCACGACCTCTTTTCGGACCGTTGGAAAATATGTCTGCGAGTGGTTTTAATCCCTTTCCTGTGGATTGTAACGACGATTGAGAGTTGGGTTTTTTTCAGACAGAGAATCATTGGGGAAGTAAGTGTCTTTGTTTCTGACATCATTCTTGATTATGTTCGAATTTGCAGTGAATGATTTTCATGAAATTGGCTGGTGTAGTGTGTGATGTAAAATGTGTAATAGTTGGGAGGTTTTTGTAGTGTGTTTCCTATTACGAAGAAAACGAAATTTTCGAAGTGTGGCACAATATTTCTCATTCCGAATTTTGAAATTTCGATCGATTTTCCAAAAAGAAAACATTAACTGAATTGAAATACATATTCCGAAAATATTTTTTTTGAAAATTACACTTATAGTATCAAGTTTATTATGCATTTTTTTATTAATTATACAAGGTTCTATAAAGTGTGAGTCAGATCGGAGGCGGTTAGGGTGCCTCATGATTAATCGGCACGACGATGATTATTCGCCGTTAAGTCGGAAATAAACCAGTTTTTTAAATTTAGTGTAATATAATTCTAAATATTATTTGTAAATACTCAAAACATATACATAATAAAAGTTTTATGATAATAAGATCATAATTATATATTTAATCATGATTATATTCCCATTTAATAAACACGATTCTATCCTCGTTGATTTGTAGAGCGCCGTTGCTTTCTTTTTTTACGGAAAAAACAGATCAAGAGAGCTCAGTGAGGGAAGAATAACATAGCCCTGCGGTTTGCACTAAAAGCCCTATATTTAACAAAAAAAAAATAAAAAAAAAAATTGGAAAAACTAAATTTTGTGCAATTTTTACCTCTAAGTTTTGACCCGTCTCTAAGGTTTGATCCACATCGGATAGCCTCAAACCACCACACATGCCAAAATCCGATTTTTCAAATATTTACATCAAAATTGCAAAAATTTTGAATTCCATCGATTCCAATCCAAAAAAATCTAACTTTGGAACAAGTTTTTTCATTCCAAAATTTTAAATTCAGATTTTTTATTTTATCAGATTCTTTTGGGACGAAAATGCAGTTAGTTTATTCACTTCGAAAAAAAAATGGATTTTTTTCCGTCCGATTTACACCCTATTAACTATAATACATATCTTCTCTCATGGGCCCCACAGGCTGACTGCGGCTCGGTCCTCTAAGCCAACGCTGCACACGGTGAGGTTCTCACCGTACCGCCGTCACGGGTGCTGTTATTTTGTTTGTTCATTGTTGGATCAATTATATTAGAATTGTTAGCACCTTAATTATATATTTTAGATGGTTACTTCAACTTTGATGTACTCTTGATTTTTAAACAAATAAAAATTAGTGCTCGTGTTACTTTAACATTATTAATTTAGTGTTGGATTAATTAGAATTGTTTGCACCTTAATTTAAATCTTTTAGATGGTTACTTCGAATTCAACTTTGATGTACTCCTTCTTGATTGTTAATCTTATAAAAATTAATTAATGCTCGTGTTACTTTAACATCGTTTAGTGTTGGATCAATTAGAATTATTTGCACCTTATTTTATATCCTTTAGAGGGTTACTTCAACTTTGACGTACTCTTGATTTTTAATCTTATAATTAAAAAATTATGCTCGTAGTCATCTCCATTTACTACAAAACTTTGGATTTTCAGTGTTAATTATAAAAATCTCGTAGTCAATTATAATTCCTTCTTTAATTCCATAGTCAAGTAGATTTTATTCACACTTGTTGGCACTGTAATCTGGTGTTTTGCTACAATTTTCTAGTGTCAAAGTATTAAAATTTCATAATCAACTATAATTTATAATCAGCTGGTACTATATTATTATTCAGTTCGCTATTCAATTTATCATCTCCCTTTACTAATTGAATCCCAATAAAATCACTGTATACAACAACAACATCAACCATCTATACAAATTTCGATAGAAAATTGTGACATTATTAGATGACTTCACGTAGTCGACTATATTATAGTGGACTACAAACATCTGAAACTAACACACAATGAAGAAACAATCTTAAAGGCGCGACAGATGTTTCGTCACTTTCGAGATTCTTTACTATATATATATCTTTCTCTTTCGAATTTCACTAAAATTCTAAACAAAGGACTCTCTTAACAACCCTTACATATAGTCCTAAACCACAAGGAATTGCATATATTGAAACTTGAGGAAACTTGCTCCCGATTAATAAACACTATTTCATATTATTATTCATTGCAATTTTCTATTATGGCCTGTTGTGTTGCACTGGTTGCCACGTGGCAATAATCCAAGCAGAATCACACGCGCGGCAGGGATTTCTTTGCAAAATTGTATAGATATTATTCATCGTTGACAATATGGGTTTAATTGTACGGTAGAAGCTGAAAGAAATTTCGTACAAATGGAAGCTTAGCTTAACCACTCTGCTTTGACTTTTATAGTACTTCATATCGAACCTAGAGAGAGAGAGAGAGAGAGAGAGTAACAAGATCGTAGATCCGAGTCTGACTCGTTCAATGCCCTTAAATAAAATCTAACGTTGATTGCCATATACTCCATGTATCTATATATTTTTTTGACTTGGTAAGTAATTAATATTTACATTTCCTTTCTTTAATATAAAATAAAATAAAATTACTCAATTGGTTGGCTCAGTCAAATAATTAATTAATCCTGGAACGAGTATAATGAAATTAATTATGAAATACATTAATTAGTTTTCCGTGCGGATAAAAGGAAGAAAAATTACTGATTTCAGCATACTTTTCTTGGCCTAGCTAGGTTCAATTAATATACCTTGAAAGTTTACACGTACTATTGAAAATTCAAACACATAATATAATATATAGATTAGGTTGAGAAATAAGGACTAATTATTATATAGTTGGTAGATTGAATTTGAAGAATTCAAAAATCTCAAAACTATATATGTTTATAAGCCACATAATATAAATATTGTATGTATCCCTTTCACCACACAATGGCTTCTTCCTCGAACCAGATTTTAATTTATTATATATTAGATGCTAAGAATTAAAGTGACGGTTTGAATAATGTTGTATTCTTCGAGTTACAATTATAATTAGTAGAACCGTCGTCTAGTTTTTAATAATTAATATTCAAATATGAATTAGTATAATACAGTTTGGACTAGCAACATTCTATTAATTTAGTAAAATATTAAATTATTGAGTTAATAATTTAGTATATTTTTACCTACTCGGAATCAAAAGAAATTATTATTTTAATTTATTGAGTATTAAGTTATCGAGGTTCTACTATAACATGATCTAATTTATAGAGAGGCGGCTAAGTATTATTATACATGCATGTTAATTGAGAGTACAAAGTATATATATATTTCATAATTTTTATTATTTGGTATTACTACAAAACATAATGGAATGGAGGCCAGGTAGCTTTTTATGTATAATATATACCCAAGTGTTACATACTTTAATTAGGCTGCGGAATTAAGTACATGTGATCAAACCCCTAAGCAACTCCATAACAAATAAAAATGAAAAAATAGAAGGTGAAATTAATCACAGCTAAACCTCTATGAGTTAATACTGCGTGAACTAGCAAAATTTTATTAATTTATAAAAACCCTAAATTACTGATCTAACAATTTAATACAGTATCACCGAGTCAGGAGTGGGATAAAATATTATTAAATAATTTTATAAATATATAGAAGTTGTAATCTCTCTCTCTCTCTCTCTCTATATATATATATATATATATATATATATATATATATATATATATATATATATATATATATATATATATATATATATATTAAAGTTTTGTATAGTAGCATGCCACGAATTTCTCCATGTTTGAATTTTTCCAAAGCCATCTTAGCTCCCAAGCAATTTCTCCTATAAATAATCCCCATAGCTCCACAACATCAAAACCATCATCAATTTATACACCATACTGCATTTTACTAAAATAAAACAAAATAAAAACAATATATATACAATGGAAAAACTCTGCAGAGTTCTGATTCTTTGCTTACTGCTCATCTCAGCCGCACACGCCACTTCGAGAAGAAGAGAAGCGAAAGAAGACGAAGCAGACAAATGGTTCAAAAGCTTCTCCCAGCAAAAGCAAAAATTCGCGAAACTCCGTTTCTACATCCAGGACAAGCTCGGCGGGCCCAACGCCACCATCTGGGAGGTCGCTCGGGCGGAGATCACCGCCACTTCGCCGACGATGTTCGGTCAGGTTAGGGTTTTGGACGACCTGATCACGGCGGAGCCCGACCGGAACTCTGCGAAGGTGGGCCGGGCTCAGGGGCACATCGCCTCGTCGGACTTGACGACGTCCGCCCTGACGATGAACCTCAACTTTGTGTTCACCGCCGGAAAGTACAATGGAAGTACCCTCTGCATATTAGGGCAGAACCCGATCGGGAGTAGCGATAGGGAGCTGCCGGTGGTGGGTGGGACCGGGGTTTTCAGGATGGCGCGTGGGTTTTCGATCTCGAACACTTACTCGTACGATGCTGTCGAGGATTATGGTGTTTTGGAGTATACTGTTTATGTGTCTTATGTTGACGTGTGATTTTTTTGATCATAATATTATTGCATTTATTCTTTTTTTTTAATTTAATTATTATTGTTGCAGATTTATTTTGTTTCTAGTAGGCTTCAGCGTGTATTTTGTTCTTCAATATATAATAAAATAATAACGGTTTGTGTGTTTTTTTTTTGATTCTTTAATAATATATTTTGTTTAATGTTTTAGTTTGAAGATTTCGGTTTAATGAGGGAAGTAATGCTTCTTTGATCTTTCACTAGGCGGCATGATATTTTTAATACATGGCATTTTTGTAATATAGACATAATACACAAGACTTTGTGCTAGTAGCACTGAAGAGGTCAAATTAACTAAAATTTAGTGTTTTTTTTCAAAACCTAAATAAGATGCGAATATTTAAAAGAGATAGTTCGACAAAAGATACTCAGCACAAATTTTCATAGAGGAGATGATAATTAAGGTAATTGTTGTGATTCGAGAATACATACAATGCGAAAATAAAGAACGAATTCACAAAACGACGACTCGTAATTTACACGGTTCAAATCTTTTGACGACCCTAGTAAATGGGAGCAGTAAGAACTTTTTATTACTATCAAATGATCACAAACATTACGAATTAAATACATCAAGATCACTCATTTCACATAGAAACCCTAAACGAAATGAAAACCCTAGCTCTCTCGCAATTCGTTATGCTTTCTCTCGTGTATGATTTTACAGAGTGTTGTTTACAATATAAGAAGTCTTTCTTGATCATTTGAACTAATCTTTTAACCACTAGTAGAAACATTGTTTTTAACAATCATTAACTGTAGCAAAATGTACTAAATTCGTTGTAAAAATTAAGTTTTTTGCTACGGTAAATGGCCGTAGCAAATACTTTTTTGCAACGGTAAATCCTAAACTACGATGCCAAGATTGTCAAGTGGTAAAATGTACCTTTTGGCTTTTGCTACGGCTTTTTACCGTAGTAAAAAGTCCTGTTTCTACTAGCGAACAGTAATTAGTTTAGGTTTTAATTAAATTACTACGGATTTCATTTTTGCAGATGACCTCCGTTTATTGTTTCGTTTGATTCAAAACCGGCCCTCGCCGGTGCAAGTCGCCGAAGCCATGAACTAACCTTGATCAATTACATTAGTCCACTTTCTTTTTGGGCCAAGCCAACCAATATTTCGGATTAGTCAACTTTTACAAGTCAACTAACTATTCACTAAGTCAACTTATTATGTCATAAGTCAAACGATATAAGTAACTTATCAAGTCAACTGGGTT